AAAACGAAAATTTCGTAAAATCTGAAGGGGGTACCCCTTGGAAAAATCTCGGAAAAATCGAAAATTTTTTTTTGTTGTTTATTATTAGCAATATTCCTCCGAAGTGTGATTTCTTTTTAAAAAATGCGTTTCTAAAGTGCATAAACTTTTGGGATTGACTGTATAGCCAATACATCCTTAATTCCTCCTCCCGTTTCAGATTACAAATTTAACTTCACGTTGGCCAACTGTTGCTTGAGTCTGATAAGCAACGAGAGGGAAATCCTCGTCGTGACTATAACGCAGCTGTTGACGAGCATCGAAGCACGTCCCGCTTTGTCCGCTTTCAAAGCTTCCACGCGCGCCGAGAGTTTCGTGATCGAGGGCGTCTCTAATGAAGGAGACCTAGTGCCCTTGCTCACCGTCGACAATATTCTGACAGGTATCAATTATCGCGTATCGGTATTAAACAGCCGATATTTAATGACTTCTTACAGGAAACGTGTCGACCAACTTTCTGGCGATAGATTTTGAGAAGAACGGAGAGAACGCGGATCCGACGTTCGACGTCTCGATAAAACTGGAAGCAGTCGAAGTCACGTACTATCATGTAATAAATTTCATTAGGAAACGTATCATTTAATTGACTAGCCAGTAAAAACATTGTTATTCATTGTCCAGCATGCGGTCGTCGAGATCATTCGATTCTTCAAGCTAAACGATTCGAACATGCAGACGACGGTCTTGTGGGCGTACAGATTGTGCGAATACGCGAGGAGGAACTTGCTTACTTTGATGGACAGCATCGTGTCTCAGACACTTCGGATCAGTTTCAAGATTGACATCAAGGGACCGTACATCGTGTTCCCTGAATACGGATCGGTGCAGAAGTGCGTACGACAGGGAAACGATCGTAACGTTTCGTTGAGCATCGAGCGGTGTAAATAACACGTACGGATTTTAGAGGCGGACACGTTCTCGTCGTGGATTTTGGTAACGTGAGTTTGTCTAACGAACTTCAGGCGACGAACCTTCAACTAGAGGATGCGACGCTCATGGAACTGGAGGAGTTACTCTACGACAGGATACACATAGTGTTCTCCGGGGCGCAGATACTGTTCTGTCATTCAGGTTTCACTCGATCTCCATCAATTTCTATTACTAGTCTCGTATAATCGTGTAATTGTGATTTATTGTGCAGGAGATGATTGGAGAGCGGCTAGGAAACGAAAGGATTCCGAATATCACTTTCTTCCAAAGATACATGCGAACACGACTGTTTCTTATAGCATCAAACCGGAGTATTACCAGTTGCCAAGGTACTCCGCGAATGTTTCATCGTATACAATTGTACATACCGCGTTTACTCTGTTTACAGGACGAAAGTGAACGTTTCCATATCGAGCGTAAAGTTCAATCTATCGGAGAACAAGATACGATTGATCGTACACTTTCTGAATCTGTTGCTTTTGGTGTACCAAGAGAACTTGAACAAATACGAGGATGATTCGAAGGTGCATGTCGTTCAGAAAAATTCGAACAAGATACTGACATCGCTGAAACAACTTAAGAACGTGCAACGCAGCGTATGTCTCTCGTCGGTCGACACCGTACAAAATAAATTCACGCACGTGACCAAGGAACTTCTGACGAACCACGTGCAGAAATTAGATAGGTAACGAAGTGAGACTAAGCAGTTCAAAGAGCTCGTGGCACGTCGTCCGAGTTCTATGATGGTAGAACGAGTACACCGCGTTTCGGTTGTCTTTTTTAGGAGCGTCGTATCGTCAGAAGTCAGCGAGGAAGACTTGGAATTACTGTCGAAGACTATAAACTTGTCTGGGTTCGATGACAATGTGTCCCCGTGCAACCACATCAATATCTTGCTGAGATTCGCCATCGGAGAGGTACTTGTACTCCCTACCAAACGATGTTTCTACTTTATGTTCGATAACAGAGATTCTTCGATTAAATTCAGCTATCGGTTCATCTGGGAGTTATAAATGACGGACGGGAGGAACCGTACTTGAATTTAAGATTGCACGCGTTGTACCTTGAGACCGCGATAATGCAGTATGGGCCAGCCGTACAGTTCGGAATGGGATCTATACTCTTGGTGGACAAAACGAACGCCGGGGTAACCGGATCCTATCTGGAATTGATATCCACCGAAGAACCTCACGAAGTTCTCGTTGTATCCTACCGTAAGGTACTTTGCGAACGAATAAAAGCCGTCCCTCGTTTACTCAGCCCCTCTACGACTCTTTCTTTCTCAGGTGAAATCGAACTGTCCCGACTTTAAATCCCACTTCAAAAGTATCGAACGATCCCTCGTTATAAATCTACTGAACATCAACGTGAACCTCCACAGACCAGCGTTGATAAAAATACGAGAGTATTGGCACGGTTTGATCAAGTAAGCGTCTCCAAATTTTAACGTCGACTTTGGGAGACTGACGATTTATTTTTCAGTATTTTCGAGGATAACAATCTGTTCAATTTTGTGGAGAACGTGTGTCGCAGCATCGCGCAATGGAGAACGAAAGAGGAGGACCCGCCTATTCCACCTGGTAGAGAATAACCAAGTCTTCTCTACTCTTTATTAATCGTCTTCGTAACGTTCTGTCCTTTTTTAGGAGCTATTAAATTAAATTACTCCGCTCGGCTGAGCGCTCTGATCGTCAGATTCTGCGATAAGGACATGGATCTGATGGAGATTCAGATCCAGGGCCTTGAAAACGATTGCATTTACACTGCCAATGAAAGAATGGTGTTGCGCGGACACCTCAGGCATCTGTCGATAGAAGATCTGAACGAAGAAACGCTCTATTCGAAAGTAAGTCACACCGTTTCGATCGAAGCTTCCGACTTAATCTTATATCTCTGTTCGACAGCTTTTGGTCACGGAAGAGGACAAGGTGTTCGATTTAAAATACGTCAGACACACGCCGAGGTTGTACACTTGCTCGGACATCGACACCAAACTGGACGACGTCATGTCGGACGGAACGTTTAAACTCTCCATCGGCAGAATCAACTGCGTGGTTGTCTGCAAAATACTTTACGATTTGAAGGTACTAGATTCTCGAGTACTGTCACGCGAACGCTTCGAATTCGAATCTCCCTTTTTCCAGTACTTTCTAACGCCCTTCACGTCCACCTACTGCTTACGGCTGGAAAATTACGTGATCAAAAAACTGATTGGCGGAATCGAGGAGTTCAAGAAAAGCGGTACGAAGCTGCACATCTTCATTGACATTCAAGGCCCCGTGTTTCTTCTGCCACAACGCAAAGACGTACCGAGCCTTCTAGTACTGAACACAGGCGTTCTGTCGGTCGAGAATTTCTTCAAGAAGGTCGATCAGCCTGTTCAAAGTATCAAGCTACCGGGGAACGACGCGAATCAGATGATAATCGATAATATCCTGATCAAGTTGAAGAATATGACCGTGTCCAGGGCGATTATGACGCTCAGCCAAGACTTGGAAATTCAAGTAAGACTCAGTGTCTCTCTGCGTTTATAATGTGTACAAGCGCGCCGAATTTTTAACTTCTCATGCGTTTCTCGCGGTCGTACATACTTGAGTTTCAATCGGCAGGAACCGATCATCGAACCGGTGCACGTTCATTTCGACATTAAGAGAAGGACGGAGTACCGCAGCGCGATGGAACTCGAGACGTACGGCTTGTTCAACGTTCAAGGCTCGGTGGACTTTGTGTACGTGAATCTGAGCCAACGAGACCTGAAGTCTAGCATACTGGTATGGAAGGACAACGTCTCGAAGATCATACGGTTCAAGGAGATGTGCAGCGCCGAGAAGTCTGCGATGGAAGCAGAGCTGAAGAAGATCGATCAGGATAACGCGATGGTTAAAAAGTTGGAGGACTTCCTCACGCACAACGAGAATTCCATTTGCGAGATCAACACGAAATTGAGTTTAGACGGGCTGCAGTTGAATCTGTTTTTAGATTCCGAGGAGGTGATCATCCGTCATTAATAAGTATTCACGATTTAATTATATTACACCAGGATGGTTTTTGTGTTTAATCAGGTACTGAGCTCGCCTGTTCGCGACCTCAATCACGGTTTATGTAGACTAACGTTCGGCGAGTTGATTAACACGTACGCATTCTACAACGACAGGACCCTCAAGATGAAGCTCTCTCTTCAAAGCTGCGTTCTACAGGACACCCGGAAAGATTCTCAAGGCATAAAGAAGTACATTTCTATAGTTAATTCGGAGATTTCCTTCAGAACGCATTTTGATATCGACAAATCTTCGATTCAAGGATTATTCAATCACCGGCGAGGCAAATAGGTACCGAATTCGAGTCCTGTGTGTCCGTTTCGATGTCACCTATCGTGGACGTTACGTACAATCGTGCACCGACCGGCGAACGATGCCTCGACGCGCTCGTTCAAGAAGTACGGATCAATCTATCCGTCCCGTTCGTGACCCACCTCGCTAGATACGTCATAGACTCTTTCCCTGGCGATCAGGTGGAAGAGGGAATCGTTAATCACGGATACGAGAACAACAATTCCGCGACAGTGAGTTGTCGTAAATCTAATTAAGTGTCCAGCGAATCGATCTAGGTGAAGATTAATCGCTTCTCGCTTTTGCATCAAGAGCAAGGATATACCAGAAAGAAACAAAATAAAGTACGCACAATATTTCAAAGAGGAACCAGGTATTTATACGCGCTCGTTCCAGCTTCTTCGAACATTTAATGGAAGAATCTGTCAGGCAGGTGCATATGAAACGTGATTTCACATTTCGTATGCGCCGATCCAACGTTTAATAATCATCGAGATTATATAAATGTATATTTTAAAGTATACTTTTTGAATTCAGACACCTCGGTATCCGTGAGGATACAAAAGCCAGAGATCCTGTTCTTCGGTGACCCGAAGGTGACCAACGCGCACGTGATTCTGCTCGAGACGGAAGTGTCGATCGAGAGCAGCAGGCACAGTTGTTCCTCGTCGATCGTTTGCACGCTCACGGACGTGAGAGTGAAGTCGAGGAAACAAGGGAATTACTCTGCGCAGTGCGCCACTCCCTACTGGCTGCTGTGCCCGTGCGACATCGAGATCTGCAGGAAGAGAGAGGCGCCAGAGTTCGTCGACAATTACACCGTCGCCGTGAACAAACTCGACGTACACCTGTCCGCGGAGATCGTGCACACGTTCATCAGCATAGCGGACAAAGCGACGAGCTTTGTGGACACGGTTAGCGCGAAACCGGAGGACCGGTTCGCGAATCAAGAATACAACATACACACGAATCTATGGACGCCTAAGAAGATATCGAATGTACCTTATAAGAAATTGAACGACGACGACTCGCACTTGATCTACGAGTGGAACGACCGGGTGGTCACTGTCACCTTGAAACCCTTGGTGCTCTGCGTACTGTTAGAAATCGAGTACTCGATGGAGAGGCTGCCGGTCGTAAAAATCGACAGCGTGATCACAGCTTCTATAAACGATTGGCTGAACGATTTCAATCTCGAGTCGAACTTGAAGCTTCACGCTTCGTGTTACAACACGGATTACAACAAGTGGGAACCTGTGGTCGACCTCTGCTCGGACGACGACGCGACTTACAGACCGTGGGAGTTGTCGGTGAAAATGCGTCACGGCGAGGCGTTCATGGTGAACTCGAACTGGACCAACTCCTACCAACATGTAAAGCAGGACGCGTTGAAAGCTAAGAAGAAGAGTTTCAGAAGCACCGATCAGGACGTGACGGACATGGTGTTCATAACTCCGGATCATTTGACCGTGTCGAAGGCGAACGATACCGAGTTGTACTCGACGTACGAAGAGGATTCCGATACCGATGACGAAGAGGGTCAGAAGAAACTGGCAAGGACGTCCAATTACTTGTTCAGCAACACCAGCAGCGGTGACGAAGACAGCGATAGCGACGATTCGAGCACGAACGAGGACGAGGGATTGGAATTGACTCCCGAATGCAACGTCGACTCGTTCGGCCCTCTTGGACGCGAGTCGATCAAATCAAACGACGTCGCGGTGTACATCGTCGTCGTCGCGGAGGACAAATTCAATCTGGTGATCACACCAAATTTGATCACCGTGATCGATATTTTTCTAAACGCTTTCCAACGCGCGACCAGTGGTATACCGACGGTTCCTCCTAACACGAAGAAATTGAACTTGCACAACAACATCGGCCACGAAAGTCGGATAGAGCTTCTCGTCCCGGAGAACGAGATCAACAAGAACATCAACCGAGTGATCGCTAGTCAGGATTATCACGATGTCAGCCCACCGGGGAGCGTGTGCAGCAGCCCCGAGGCGGAGGCACACTCTCCTCCCACGAGCCCGTTCAATAACGAATTGATAGATCTGCCTAATCCCGAGACGGTCTTGCAAACGGCGTCGATCGAGGAAATATTTGAGGAGGATTCTCCCATTAGCATATACAAGTCGATCACCGGCGAGGTGTTGCATATAATCTTTAACGGATTCGAAGATGTATTGGTGTATTGTCCCAAGAAACAGGGCTGCAATCTGATTCCCCTCAGGCCGATCAGGCACGAGGTTCGCTATCATTTGGTCATAGAAGCGACTATCAACAACTACTTGCATCGAACGATCACGGTACGATCGCCATTGCAATTTCGCAACGAGACGTCGTACGCGTTGGGACTCTACTACAAGAAGTCGTTACTGGAGAAGCTAGGGCTGACGTGTGTCGGAGCGACGACGAACCCTTTCGACGACAACATACGGATGACGATCATCGAACCCGATTCGACTTACAGCGTACCCTTGTACATAGCGTACCACTTCCCAGTTTATATACTCCCCGCTTACTTGGAGAACTACCAAGTGAGCGAGGAGGGTGTCTTCTGGAAGGAACTCAGCGGATCGTTGAACGTGGTAAAGGACATTTGCTGCAAGACGAAGGAAAACGGGAACTCGGTGTTCTGCGTAAAGGTGTCCTGCAACGAAGTCCCGGTCACCGCGAGACCGAGCTGCCAAGTGCCCAACTACTTGATCACCATCTACTCGCCAATGATCTTCAACAATCAGTTACCGTTCGTCATAGACGTTCACATACCTATCATCAATTACGAGGTGAAGATCGAGCCGGGGGAAAAGATAAACATGCATTCGTTGAACTGCAACAACGATGTTCAATTCGTCTTTAAAGTAACTACACGTATTATAGTTTTGCTAACTCGTAACTAGACTGGATTTTTATGTGAAACGTCGTTCTCCTTTAGATTCAAAATTATCTGGGAGCGTATTGGACGGGCACGGCGAAATTGAACACGAATTTAGAAAGGAAATTCGTTTTGATGAACGCGGACAGCGAGTCGGAATCAACCAAGACTTTCTTGCTCTGCATAGAACTGTGCAAAACGAGGACCTGGCACGTTGTCATCCAGTCGCAATACTGGATGATGAACAAGTCTGGTTTACCGTTGTACATTCAGGTAATTGTAAGCGCAACGTTGTAACGTGACGTAATTAAAAATTGAATAATTTGATGCAGGAATGTCATTCGCACGTGGTCAACGAGATCCCCGAGGAAGAGCTGATGGTATTCTCTCAGAAGAACAACAAGAAGAGTATGGTCAGATTGAGGGCTCACCAATCCGAGTGGTCGTTACCGTTCGGACTAGAAGGGATCACCTCCATGTCTCTGATCGTGTGTAAAGACGTGGAGCGTGGAAGGAAGTACAGAATTCTAACGGAGATCGAAAGCTCCCGGTTGTCCCCTAATTTCACCAAGATAATCACGTTCCTTCCCTACTTCTACATCAATAACAAAACCAAGAAGACTCTAAGATTCATGGAGGAGAACGATCAGGCAGATCTGTGGAACGATTTGCTACCCGGACAGAACATGCCGTTTTGGCCGGTCACGGAGTCCATGAAGATGAGGATAAAGTGGAGGAACAGTCAATTAGTATCGCAGCATTTTAGTGTCGTACAATCGGGGAAGACTGTGTTGAGGATGGACAACGGGGTAAGCGGTTTCAGTTATTGAACGAGTATCCTCAAGCTGACAGCGGATTTTATTTTATACAAATCCGCGGTTTACCCAATGGATATGAAAGAATTGTAATAATTGACATTGGGGTTCACAGTCGGCGATTACCGTCGAGATCAAAGGCGGTACCAATTCTCCTTACTGTGTCACGTTCCAAAAGTACACCGCCGGTGACATACCAGTGAGGATAGACAATTTCTGCGACGACTTGTTCTTAAAAGTCAGCCAACAGAACTTGGGCCAAGTGGCGCTCGTAAATCCGTTCCAGAGCCTGTTGTACACCTGGGACGATCCCACTAAGTCCAGAGAACTCGTCTGGAACGTGTACAACAATAAGAGATCCGGTTACAGCGCCAGATTTCAAAAGGTGAAACGGTTTGTAGAGAAATCCAATTGTGCGTGCTGATTAACTTTTTTATTTTAAGGATGGATACGGGCAGGAAGTGGTGCCTCTCGTGATCGTCGACAAGTGCAACGGCTCGACCAGCAACTCCGTAAAATCTCAGAGTAGTAAATCGACATGGCTGGAAAGCAAATCCGGAAGTTTCAGCAGCGATAATAATAACTGCGACGAGGAGGTGAAATCGCCGGTGTCAAAGAACGGACAGACCGATGAAAAAACGATCGTCTATTGGGTCAGCTACATGGAAGGAAATCAGAGGATTTTACTGTTCACTCAGCAGGAGACGGTGTTCTTAAAAGCGAAGAGCATCGTCGACCCTGAGCCCAGCAAAAGGGAGATATTTCTATCGCTTGCTGGTATCGGAGTCAGTGTTGTGAGTACACTATAATAAATGGACTGCAACACTCGCAAGGGTCTGGTACGACTTGACACCATGTGCCAATGTTTTTTTCTTGTCGCAGGTAACGAGATCGAACGAGGTTTCGAAAGAGCTGGTGTACGCCAACGTGACAGACTCGGCGGCCCACTGGGAATTGTATTTCGATAGGAAATGGAAGAGTTTATCTTTAGAGTTGAGCGTGTGGATAGAAAGCAAATATGTAAATTGTTGTAAGAAGGCGCAGTTAGAGAACTTTATCGATGTGAGTGTTAAAAGTTCTCAACGATTTATCGAGAAACTATATATAGGATATTTTCAGGTTGATCTCGTGAAAATGCACATGACCAAACCATTCTTTGGGAAACTCAGGAGAACCTATTCACCGGGCATTTGGTTGCACTACAGACAATCCATGTCGTTGACTCATCTCCAGGGATACGTTCACAGAATTCAGGTGGATATTTTAAGAAGTTCGATCAATGATGGACAGAACGACGAGAACTGACCGAGTTTGTTTCAGCTGGATAATCAAATTCGTAATACCACGTTCCCTGTGATTCTGCACTCGAATTTGCAGAAGAGCATGATCAACTACGCGGGCAATCGTAAATTGAAACACTGTATAGAATTCGCTTGCCTGAAGCAGAGGAAATTGAATTACGACGTTTACAAGTGAGCGCTTATCATTCTACAATAATAAAATGCGCGCAGTGTGACGCGACCATAATTTTCTGCAGGGGCGTTTGCGTCATAGTCAGAGAATTCGACCTGAATTTGCAAGAAGGATTCCTGTTGTCCCTGATCGACTTGATCCCGAAGAAACCGGAAACTAAATATTCTATCGCCGCGAAGCTGAGGAAAGATGTCTCCAACGTCCATCTCTTGCCTTCGAACAAGAACAACAACGTACGTAAGATCTCCCTGTTTTCTCTGTGCCGACAGTTACGTTGAAATTCATGATAATGTCGATTACAGAACGTCAGAAGAAAGAGTGTAATAGAACATATGTATATTTCTCCGATCCTAATACGCTTAATACTGTTGGCCGATACAGAGAGACCTAATATTTATAATATCGGCGATATGGCCGATTATAAGAATGTTGTTCGATTTATTTTTGAATACTCCGAGAAGGGTGGTGGCTCTGAGAAACACGCGGACTTCAGGTAATCAGGATCAGTGAACGAGTGAACGAACTCTATTAATTTCTTTCTCATTTTCTAGACTTCCATGCTATCAGAAAAATTTTGTCACCATCGACAGCGACGAGCTTCTACTGGACTTGTCACGATCGTACGTGGCTCAAACCATGCAACAGTTTCACGTTCTAATTCGTTCCACGACAGTGCTCGGTAATCAATGCGGCTATAACTTTAAATCACCCGGTGATTACTTCTACGAGTCTAACACGGTGAGGGAGACACACGTACCGATAGTAAACGGTCCCGATTGAAAGCAAGAATTCGAGCCAAAGACACATTTTACAGTTGATCCTGTGCGGAGATGAGATAGCGGAAAAATTAAGTTATGAAGTGGCGTGTCAATTGGGCTACGCGACTTTGGATACCGCGCAAACGTCGGCCCTCAACTTCGACGTTGAACCTCACCTGGTGGTTCAACCTAAGGTACGCAACCGAAAATGCGGTCCGCTGGAAAAGACATCATTCGACGACTATCGTTTCAGGTGAAAGAACCGTGCTTTCAAAATAAAGACGTTCCTCCGTCGAACCTCTCGATCCGTACCTCATTTTCTACGGAGATCGAGCTGGAAACGTGCAGCTTAGTGACTGCGTTCGTTAGTAGTGTCCATCAAGAAGAGTTGAAATATTTCTTCAAAACTTTAGGAAAGAAAACCTCGATATTTTTTAATACCGAAAGTTCCTCCTCAAGAACGTACTCGAAAGTGATACCGGATATTATAAAAAGGTACGGAGACGTTCAGGAATCTAGTCGAACCGAGTTCATTTGTTTTACGCATTTCAGGGCACAAGAAATAGGTCATAAGTTCGTGTCGCGGATACGTTTACCGCGGTACATCAATCCGTACAAGGGAGTGGAAATATTTTGCGTGCATAAATCAAAAGGGATGCATCTATTGAGTATGATAAACAAGAACCCTGGGATAGAGACCGACACGTACTGGGCGCATACTACTCTGTCCAACGACGGGAAGCACATAGCCCTCGTCTCATTGCAGTAAGTAGTACCGACTGACGTTACACCTGTTAATAAAATCATCCGTTTCTACTTATGAATCGATCACAGGCGACTGTATTTCATCGAGAAAGGTTGCACGTGGGGATCGTTGAACGTTAAGTGGACTTTGGAGACGCATCAATTACTGTCACCGCCGACGGTGGCCAACAATAAACTGATACTGCACGTGAACAAGGTAACACACAAGATAAAATGTACAACTCATTAGAAGAATAATTAACGGTGAATTGTTGAACTTACAGAACGAAGACACCTCATCGCCCGTGGTGGATTGGTACCTGGAGAGCGACGCGACGGACATTCTGGAGTGGCTGTGCCAGAAAATAAATATAGCGATGATCTTGAACATGGAGAACAGTATATGTTCAAAGCAAGTTGTATAAGTGGTATCCAAACTATAAAAAGAAAAAAGATATGATTGTATAATATTTAAGATAGTCAGGCACAATAAATTCTCTGACAAACGCAGTATAGTTCCTTGTTTGTTTATATTGAAAACCTATATCTAGAAGCAACATTATCATTTCTCCTACAAGTACAATGGTTTCTCGTGTCTCATACTTCAACGTTTCGTATAGTTATAGAAATTTTGTTTTTTTCTATCAGCAGCGTCCGTCGTCGCGAGATTTAAAATATTCATATACATAATTATATACTTTTTTCCATACTCTCTCTCTCTCTCTCTCTCTCTCTCGCTCGCTTTCTCTCTCTCTCTCTCTCTCTCTCTCTCGCTCTCTCTCTCATCGATCGGCTACCCATTTAAATCGCGTTTCAATCCGGAGAGTCAGACATTATCTACATATTATAGTCATTTGGATAAAGTACGTCTAGTTTATTTCATAATTTATTTACAAAAAGTCTTAGTAAATTACACTTACAGGCATCTCCACTCGAACTAAAGTAAATAATTTAAGAGCTACACGTATTTAGATATCTATAGAGTAGGATACATTGGGGCCAGGGAGAAGCTGGGATCAGGGAAAGTGTTCTGTTTTCCTTTTCCTTCTTCATAACTTATTCGTCTCGTCTTCTATGTTACTCGATCGTTTTACTCAGTTTTCCCCTTCTATCCGTCGAGCAAAGTACAATCCGATCGTTCTCTTTTGTCACGTGCTACCCATTCAAGAGCGAAACCGAAACACCGCGTTTTTCGTTCTCCCACGTGCGACGATTAATGAGCGAAACCGAAACACTGCGTTTGCCTCTCGTGTCTCGTGTTCGTGTGAAATCCGTTTCTACGAAATGAGAAAAGGAAGTACCGGCGTGGTGGAAGGTGTGCGACGACCAAGTCGAGAATATTCAATTGTCGGCTCGTTTCTTTGTTTCTTTTTCATCTCCTCGATGAACATTGATCGAATGACAGCGGTTCCGTTTTCCCGTAATTCTTCTTTTTCAGTTACATTAGATAAATGTATATGCAAAAACCGTCGAAATATGTGCAAAAAGCTAACAACTGGGGGAATAGTACTTGTTAGTAGCTTTTCGTTCTCGTTTACGATAACATACGCGCTTTTGGTAAGCGTAAGAGCTTCGCGATTATAAATACGTTTCATCAGAATCGCTTGAACGCCACGATCGAGAGCTATCATCCGAACGTTCTGTGTTCTTACCATCGATTACGTTACAGGACTCGTCGCCTCTCTGTGTGTGTGTGTCTCTCTCTCTCTCTCGCTCTCTTTCGCTCGCACAATCCATTTCATCGTTTCGAAATCGCTCTCCACAAATTTGATCACAACGGTGTCGAACGTATACGAAAACAATTGCGTACATATATTACTATTACTACTACTGCTACGGCTAATCCAAAGGATTCTTCTCCGGTGCGAGAAGAAGTCGCAAAGAAAGGAAAAATGAACTAGTAAATGAATTACAAGTTAAGAAATAATAGTAAGTAAATAAACTGAAGTCCACCCCAAAAGGAAAAATAAAAATGCACGAGATACTATTCCGATAATTTTCCACCGAAGCGTGATCGCTGTTTGTCGTGATGAGGTACGCGTGTTTAAAGCTGCCACTCGTCCATCGCTCGCATACTTCGCTCTCGACCTTTCACCGTTCCCTTTTTCTGGTAAGCTCATATATTACATTATTACCATGTATTTTACGTGTACGCATGTGTGTCTGTGTCTGTGTTTGTGTATGCATGGATATAGCGTTGTTTTCCTTCTACATTTTCTTTGACAGACACTATTCCCCACCCCGTTTTCTACCAACACCCCCATCCTTCGTGCATACGATCGATGCATTCGATTATCGTTCATACAGTCATTGTACAACACGCGACAAAAAGAAATTCTCTCGACGCGCACGCGGGGACCGGAAGCGCGCGCTATGTACCAAATGAACGCGCGCCCGTTCCTCTCTTTCTCACCCTGACACACGCGACACGCACACGTGCGTTTAAAAGACGAATCAAACTTGAAATTGTCTCCTCACCTGTATCTCTCCCTCTCTTCCTTCCGACTCGTTCTCTCCGCTTTTTGTTTCCGCTCTGTCCTTTTGTTCGTCTCTACTTCACCCGTTCATTCGCAGAGGCATTCGCACAGGTCCTCTCACGTTCATTCACGCAACCCCATTCACGTCCTCTCTCCCTCGCTCGCCGCTGAACACCGAAGGGATCACGCTATTTTTCAATTGTCCTCGACACTTCCCCTTTTCTGTGTCCGTTTCTTCTCTCTTCCGTCATCCATTCCACTCTCATTCGTCCTTTCACGCGTCGCGTTCGCTCGTTAAACTGTCTCACTCGCTCTGATTTCTCCCTCTCACGCTCTCTTCTATCAATGTCTTTCTTCAGTTCTAGTTTCTGCCTGTGCTTCTAAAGTCGAGACTCTCGGTGGCCTGCTTCTCTCTCATCCCCGTACATTATTCTTTTTTTTTTTGTTGTCTGTTTGCAAAGGGAGACCACCGTGGCCGTTCGCGCCGCGTTGTATCATCGTTTCATTTTTAAATCCCTTTACGCTTTTTTCATTTTCTTTTAAAATCTCTCTCATCGTTTCTCTCACCCTTGTACACACGGCGCGGCGCGGTTCGAATAAGATTCAATGGAAGTGTGTGTTATCTACAAAATATCTTAATTACTCGCTAATTACAGCACAAAACATGCAAATATAAAAATTTGCATTACATTATCGTTAATATTTATATATATAATCGTCACCCGATATTATCGTTCCACATCGCACCATTTTTAGGTTCGTCAAAACAGGATTTCATTTTTCATTTAGTTTTGCTTCAATCGTCATTCATTACTTCCCCATTAATCTTTATTTCGGTACTCGTTCTCTTCTATATATTATTATGCTGCTAAAACGTTTGTCTCATCGATCTCTCACCGTCTCCCACTATTATCTCCTCTTCGTCATTGTCTCATCATCATCATCATCATCATCATCATCATCACCGTTATCATTATTTATTCGTTCGTTTTTAATCTTTATTCCCTCCCTGTCTTCCCCCGTCTATCACTACAATAACCCCGTCTAATATCTTCACGAATTTTCCCGAGTTTCTTCGCGTTCTCTCTACCACTTGTTTTCACACCGTCCACAGTTCGCAGTCGTCCGTGTTCTCTTTTTCTCATTACTCCCCCTCCGCTTCATTAACTATGAAATATATCTTACACTATCGATATTATTTCCAATTCACGAATCAGTAAAGGTATACTAGACGCGTGGTTTCATTCGGTGCTCGCGTCGCAGTATACCTCAACTCGCTAACACCGATAATTAACTTTCTTACTTCTCTGCTTTGTTTTTTTTTATCATTTTGTTAATTCGATATAAAACTACAACCGCGTTAGCCACGCGGCGTTACATTATATCGACACTTTGTTCTTCTCTCTACACACTCTCTGAATCCCGCGTTTTCCATAATCCTTTCTCTATCTCTCTCTCTCTCTCTCCCGTCGCCGTTCTCTCTATTAATAATCTTTCTCGATCATTCATTTATCGTTAACTACCTTCCTAACATTTTCTCCGCTCATTCTTCCTCTCTCTCTCTCTCTCTCTCTCTCTCTCACGCGCCCGCTCCAGTATTCCTTACATGAATAGCAACAGCAGCAGCAGCAGCAGCAGCAGCGGCAACAGCAGCGGCAGCGGCAGCGGCGGCGGCAGCGGCAGCTTCATTCTCACAAGCTGTCCTTCCCGCAGTGTCCCTTGTTCGAAAACGAATAACTGATCGTAATAACATCCCCCTCTTCATGTTGCACAAAGGGGCGAGAAAGAAACAAACACCCGCGGATCGAGCAGGGGCAAAAGAAACTGAACAATCGTATTCCGTCCGTGCGTCGCGATAAAACAAAGTTACGTGCCCCTGGAACACTGGAACAATACACGCGCAACGATCGCGGCCACTTGTTGATCCAGGATCTGGCTCATCACCAAGGCTAGTAACCGTGATTCGTGCTGTAACAGCAGAGTTCTGTTGTCAGGATGCCTGGCGAGGTTCAGCAACGTGCCGGCCGCGCGACGCAGCATGTCCAAGCTGGTGCCCATCGACTCGGGATTGTCGCGCAACGCGGCCAATCCGTGTTGATTCGCAACGCCTAGCGCCGACGACTCAGCCTGCTCGATGAACGCCACGAGTAACGCGACGCATGGCGTCTGCAGGGCGATCGTTCGCGCCACGCCGCTGTCCGCCGCGGAGAGGAAATGGAGCAGATTGACGCCGAACTCGCGCAACACCTGTTCCTCGCTACGGCACAGTAGCCTGGTCAGCACCGAGCACAGTCTCTGGAGTCTCGAGTACGGCGGCGTGGCGACCACCAGGTCCACGTTGCACTCCGTCACGCAGAGTTTGCACAGAGCTTCGAGCGCCAGTCGCTGCGGCGAGAGGGAAGAATTCGGGCTGACCGTCGGGAACGGGTCCTGGCCGTGAGCGGCGGGACAGACCGCCCAATGCAGGAGGCCGTCCAGCACCGGCCGGGATATCTCCTCCGGGTGTTGACTCAGATCCATGTGACCGGCGATGTTCGCCGCCATGACGAGCACGTTTTCTCTGATGTGATGCAGAAAGTCCCACCACCATTCGCTCTCGCCTTGCAGGCTGCTGCACGAGTCCGCGAAATCCGCGTCCTCCTCGCGATCGTAGTTCCGCGTCTTCTGCGTCCTGACCGGGTGCTCGTGGTGCAGCAACAGCAACTTGCCGAGGAGGCTCAAGAAAGTGACGTTCTTGGCAAACTCGGCCTCGTTACCCGGGATGAACGTGAGATTCCTTAGAATTGTCGACAAACAGACGCAACGTCGGGCAAGGTTGTCCTGAGTCTCGGTAACGAGGTACAAGCTCGCTTCGTCTCTCGAGTAACTCTCGTCCTCGTAGTCGCTTATCCGCCTCCTCTTCAGCGTGCCCGCCGGATCTTTAATGCTTAAACTTGGTCCCTCCTTGTTATCGTCGTCCTTCGCTACCGACTCCTGCTCCTCGATCTCGACCTTCACCTGCACCACCATCTTCACCGTCGCCGCAGTCTCGGCGTTACTCGTCGCGTCGTTCAGACCGTTCTGCGTCGGTACGAGGGGCTGCTCATCCTCGGTCCTCTGCCGGGATTCGTCCGCGAACTGCTCGCCGCCCACGTTGCTGTTCATCACCTTCGGTGGCTCGGCGTCGCACTCCTTCTTGATCCCGTCGTTCTTCTTCTCGAACAGCTCCCTCGTAAGATCGTTCATCTCCTCTGGTTCCTTCTTAATCCTCGACAGAACGTCGCTCAACGTTTTCGTCTTCTTCTTCTTGTCCAACTGCTTCTTCTCGCTCGTCTCCTTCGGCTTCTCTTCGGGCTCGTTCGTCTTGGGCCCGCAACCGGCCGACGCGTCGAGCGTACCAGGATCCGCTTTGGTTTCGTCTTTCGAGTCCGTACACTCCACCTCCTTTTGCAGCAGAGGCGGCTTTTCGTCCCGTAGGAGACGCGCGAACGGTACCGAACCGATCTCAGATTGAAAACACGTCACTATGTACTTGGTAGTGTTGGCGTCCACCTGCCAGGGCTCCGTCTCCGACTCGCACTCTTGGTGGTGATCCCAAGTTCTTCTCGAATCCAAAACGAATATGTCGTCGTCCCTGGGAACGATTTTTACCGGGCGGCCCCGCCTCGACAGGAATGTGTAATTCGAGGACGAGAGCAACTTCGTTCGATCCTCGGGATCGATGGGGCGCGTCACAGCGCCGAGGTCTACCTCCGGGCCGTCCGCCGATTGGTTCCATCGGTCCTCCTCGTTCGCTGGTGGCTCGAACATATCGGACAAAGAACGCGAAAAATGTTCCAGCAGAACATCCAACAGCCCGGGCAAGTGTGTCAACCCGAAATAACTTACCTGTAGAATTCGTTTTGTTATCGTTTAATGTTTTACTTGTACAATCGGTTACGAAAGAGCATGGAAGTAGTAGTGGAAAGAAATGGAAGTTTGAGACGAAACTTACAGAAGAATCGTCGAATAACAAAATATTTAGTACGTCGAGCGCCCAACAGCTTTCGGCCAACAGGCCTGATCTCAGGGCCATCATGATCCGCCAAGCCTCCACCGGTGCTACGTCGGCACGTGTCAGTTTCCGCCGTTTATAGAGAAGCGGAGTCACCGCTTCGACGCTGTCGGGAGGGAATGTCATTTCTCTTTTCGACGTGGGCTGCTGGCTGATCATAGGGTTTATGCCTAGCTGTGTCTGTAAATTCGCCGGAGCAAAACATGTTGGGAGAACGATAGATTGAATCCGAGACGAACGGAAACTTGGCGAGAGTAAACCGATGATGATTACCTGATGATTTCCGGGTGCAGGATACAGAGGGGACGGTTGATTCGAGTAACGATGATCCCAAGGTGGAGGAGCATGAGCTATAGCGTTTAGCGTCGGCTGGGGCGTGGTTCTATTTGGTTGTTGACTACCCCACTGTTGACTGCTAGGAAGTCCTGGCGAAGGTGCAGAGGTGACAGACGGTGGTGTCGGCGGTGGCGGCTGCGGTTGCTGCTGCGGCGTCGGGGCTGGCGGCTGTTGAGTCGGATACTGAACCCTATTATTTCCACTACTGCTGTTGTACTGATTACTCGTATTCGGCCATCCTATGCGCGCAGACGTTTCTTTTATAGGACACACGTTTATTTTCTCATCACATTCGACCGACACGAAAATTTAATTACCCGGATACGCTGGTCGTTGCTGGTTGTACTGAGGATACTGTTGGTCTTTGGCAAAATCTGGGTGACGCCTTGGCGGGTTAGGACCTGGCGGCGGCGGCGGCATGTTCTTATTTGCGTTCGTGCCAGCCGCGTACAGCGGTGTTCCACCGGGAGCCCCGTATCCGCCCTTTAACGACGAACGTAATAAATTACACGCGATCACTGTTGTCACGAGTAATCGTTGTCTACTTCGTTCGGGCCGAACGGCATCGGTCACGAGAGTAGAGTTACCTGTTCCTGTCGATAGTAATCTTGAGGACACGAATAGGACGAAGCAGCGGTAGGCTGCGAGGGCGAAGAGGGTTGACTGGTCGCCGTCTGCTGCGGTACCGCGGCAGGATGCGCCTGCGGCGCAGATGGATAGCTGTTACTTCTCGCGTTGGGCGGTGTCCCCGTGGGGTAACTAGCAGGCTGCTGACTACTGCTGTATCTATTGTACATGTCCTGTCCGCTGGCATTACTCGGCGGCATGTTCCCCCCAGGATATCCTCTGTAAGATTCCCCAAGTTTACGCTTCGTCCTTCCACGGTGCGCGTGCTCCGAAACGGAATAATCTTTTAACCTGTCAACGTCTGGTACGTAAGGTGAGTAATGGGACCTCGGCGAATAGGGCTGGTTGAACTCCCCTTGCTGGGACAGCGTGCTACCTTGCGGCCGGATGTACTGATCCTGAGGGTAGTTTTGGTAGGAACCTGTGTTTTGGTAACTGCCTTGTTGCATTCCTTGAAAGATGAAACGGCAATTATATCTCGACCGCGATCAAGAAGTATCTCGTTATACGAATAAGAAGAAAAAGTGATGCACGACAAGAAGAAGAATGTAATCGAACACAAAAGAGCTACGCGTGTGGATGATGAAATGAATATCTCGTTGCATGTTGTGAAAGGAGACAAGGGTGAGAGAGAAGTACCTGGACCTCGTAGCGGACCAGGGTGGGGCGTTGCGTTCGACTTGCGAAAAAGGCGTCCCACGCCGTCGTCGAACGGATTCGTGACATTCTGCCCGCCCTGGTTCAAACCACCTGCCAGAACATATTCTCTCAACCGCAATTCCTCTTTCACACGCTTGGTAATAAAGTAGTTTTATACAATGATCATTTTATCGAGTCAAGTTCATCAAGTAGTGGAATCTAAGTGGAAACCGAGAGAAGCGTACGTACCTTGGTGCGGAGAAGACGCGTTGCTCTGACTGGGCGGTCTCGGAGGAGGAGGTGTATATTCCGACGACGGTCCTCCAGGCGTGCCGCCGGTGTATCCACTCTGATAGCTTCCGTAACCGTCCATAGAAGCATTGCTCGATCCAGCGGCAGGAAAGGAATCTTGCGAATTGGAAGACCCTGTACATAGGGAACGATGTAATGCGTTAAGCGTGGACGGTGTTCCACGACGGGGACATTCAGAAGACCTACCCGGCGAGGGCACGGAGGCAGTCGCTTTCGACGCTTTCTTCTTCGAGCCAGCTTCGACTTGATTTATGATCGGCTGAGGATCCACGCCGCCGCGGTCAAAGTGACATTCGTACGCCAACAAGTGTTTCGTGTAATGTTTCCGCAGCGTGTACGCCGCGCTGCTGCTCGCACCGATGCCCAATAATCCGGCTATATCTTTCCACGTTTTGTTCTTCGTCACCTATAGAAGGTCAATGTGAATTTTTCCATCAATTTTCGTTCGTCCGTCCACATTACCGAGTAGAGAATCCAAACAGACAAAAATCTGCATCTCGACAAATAAAAATAATGGAACACGTAAAGAACGGCGACTAAAATCTAAAACGAAATCAAATACCGGTTCGACGATAACGACGTTCTCCCCCACACACACATATATATATATATATATATATATAAATTGCTTCGCGGTTCCTGATCATGCAGAACGTGAAAAAGTGAAGACGAGTAGACAAGAGTACAATCGAAACGAATTACCGTTATTACATCGATATTAAAAGTTTATTCTTCGCTGATTATTAGAATAATTCCATATAGCACCAAGGTTCGTAGATCAGGGCGTTTTCCTTACACGTCGAACGACTACTTCAAGAAAAGACGTGTTAAAAAACTTGGTTCTCTTTTTCCTATCTTCGTCGTAATTTTATGAACAGTACAAAAGGTAAAAAGAACACTATCTAGCAAAAAGTATGATGTAAGATAGAATTTCATGCACAATTCAGCGCACACAGAAACCAAGCGTGTTTTCACAATTGTTATACGTCAAAAATGTTTGGTAAAACAAAAAACAAGAAAAAGAGAAAAGAAAACTGATGAACGTATAGTGCCAGCAAAAAGGAAAAGAGAACAGATGGCTCGAGTCATCATCGCTTTTCATGGCACTCAAAATCGTGTACAAGAAAATCCAAAAAAGAAAAAAAAAATGTATGTATGTATGTATGTATGTAATACAAGTACAAAACACATATAGAATTATGAAAAAAAACTACTGTAAAGACACCGAGGGCTAGATGGAACTACACTGCACCTTGCATACCTCCATGAAGCCCCCCCTCTCCTTCACGTAGAGGTATAGCCGAAATAAGTCGAGGGGGTTCTTGGAGATGGTAGGACAGCTGGTAATTGGTGATCTTCGTTCTTCCATAAAGTTAACTAATTTGTCCAGCCATGTTCTCCGTTCCATCGAATCGTCCATCTCGTACAGCTTTGCTAAGCTGTCTGGTTTCTGAAATGATCGTCAGGAAAAATGCGTTAATATCGGATACGCCGGTTCACCTCTCGTCACACGCTTCGACGCGTGCCATCTTTTTCTCGCTTTTAAACGCTTCATCTATGTTTGATTAATTACAATGAGTCGACAATTATATTCGTACGTACATAGATTTTAGAATGAAATTAGTAATACCACAACCCATGCGAAAGTGTTGCCTTTCTACTTTGACAGTAATCGAACGAGAGGTACGTATCATGCAGTCACGTAAAGCGAATTAACATTGGGGAATTTAACGTTTCTATGGTTCATCAATTTCACTTTCCGGTGTCCGTGTTCGATTCGGTCAAACGAACAAGGAGACGTCGCGTTATGTGAACAGGCGTGTGCACGAAATGTTGTACGACGATGATTTTGTTAGGGAGACCGAGACGTGTACTAGACACTATGTACTACCGCAAACGAAAAATACGGATGTCATCTGTTAAGGTTCGATGTCGGTGTCGAAACGGAAAAAGAGTTAAAACGATCTGTAGAGGATATGTTTGCTAAGTATGGCAGGGTACGCATCTGGAGACTAAACGAAGCACGAAGCATTCAACGTTGAATAGTGTGTTGTGCAACGGTATAATAAATACTTATAGTGAATAAACAGTAACCTTAGATCTGTATGGGTCTTGAGGCACATGACTGTTAAATACCTGTAAAATATATAAAATATTGAAAAATCCAAAAGACTGTCGTAGAGAAAAAACGCATTGACCCTGATTCGTATATCGTTCTTAGAAATCTCGACGTAGAGACATTGAAAACATGCGATATAAAGGTACAGATAATACATACGAAAGTATTAAACCATTATATGTCAGAGTCTTAAGATTCGAACGATCGGGCGAGATACATACAGGACTAGCGGGAGTACGTGGCCAACCGGGACTGTTCATGTCCGGGTATTCTTCGTGTATCGAATTAATACTCGCGGCGCCCGGCGACGGGACCGTGCTCTGCGGTGTCGTTGGATGGCTGTGATATCCGATCATGTCTTTCCTCGGCCTCGGTGGACACGCCGGATCTTCTCCAGAAGCTGCGTCAAAGAAGAATTGTACGACGATTAAATACACTGGGTACGCGCTCTCTTAAATATCGTCGGGTATACTGACCAGCTGACGCGTTCGACAACGTGGACTGTTGAGATCCTTCGTCTAGAGACGTGCCGTCGGGACCGGTGGTTATCACGGATGTCACGGTGCCGCTCGAAGTAGAGGTGACGTTTATAGCTGACGTGCCTGCGGGGACGAATATTTTTCAATTAAACGACGTGCTCTACCTCGTCACAGAAACAAGTCACGAGTGCGAAGTAAGAAGCACGACAAATGAGTGGATATACCTGAAGCAGTAGTGGTTATGCCACTGTCGTTAGAGGTTTCTGTGGTAAGATCTGCAGAACTATGGCTGGTCGGTGTCGGTGTCGAAGCGGGATGTGAATTGGGAGTGGTACTTGGCGGAGGCATCGGGCTTCCCTCGTGATTGAGGGGTGGCGTGGCTGCGGGAGTGTGCAAATGCGGCACAGCCGAGCTAGTCGGCGGCGGCTGGTTGCTGACATGATTAGGCGATGGTGGTGGTGGACCCATGGAACTCGCCGGCGGGCCCATATTACCGATCACAGTCACTCCAGGGGTACCTGGTGGCACCATACCTGCTGTACTACTACCTCCGTAAACTTGAGGCGGTCCCGGACTAGGTGGCATTCCCGGTGGTACGCTGTTGAATCCCATTTTATGCTAGAAGAAACAAAACGACGCGTCACTCACTGTCACCTGACGGAAGAGAAGAACGAACGGAGTGAAACGGTTCGCTTACCGTGTACGGAGGATATTGCACCAAATTGTTGGGTCTGTTAGGAGCCTGATATTGATTGTTAGGCGGTGGTTGCGAATTGGCTGGCGACGGATAGCCTTGCGAGAATTGCACGTGCGGGCGCGGAGGTGGATAGGTACCCTGCCCGTGATAACCCCCAGGCTGACCCGCAGCCGCTCCACCAGCTGCGTATCCCATACCACCACCCATCGGATTTATCCCGCCGAGGCTAGCCGAACCAGATCCTGGTTGAACAACACCGGGACCGGTGTTGTTCATCTTATAGCTGTGCATGTGTGGCGAAGGACCCAACGGCTGCTGGTATGCTCCTGAAAATGTTTCGTATCCTTCTGTCAGATTTTCCAAACACGAGATTAAGTACGAGAACAAGTTTCACGTGTATCGCGTGTACCTTGAGTTGTCATAGGAGAATGACTCATTCGTGCTGGTCCACTACCATCCGACTGGCTGCTCGACGGACGTGGAGGCATCTGAACGTTTTGTTGGCCTGTACAAAATCGAAGATCAGAGATCAATTCCGCAGGGACAAATGGCCGAAGGATCGGCGATTGAAGCAGCATTGCAATGAAATTGTACGAACCGACAGCAGGGGACATCGAGCGAGAACCTGTAGATCCTGTCGGGGAAGGGGTTGGTCTCATCCCCTGTGAGTTTGGTGTTCCTGGACAGGCAGGTCCATTCGAACTATCGTTACTGTTCTGTCCAGATAATTCCTGAAACGTGAAAATATACAATTTTAGGAACGTAGGAACATCGACGGGATCGAGAAGATATACTTTCACAAAGATTACACGTGACGAGCAGAACTGTCTTCGATATCCATCCCCAATCAGGAATGTTTACGTGATGACATCGGTGACAGTATTCGATGTTATTTACGCGGATCGTGAACGACGAGTGTAATGAAAATTACGTAAACAGAAGATATTTTGAAACGATCGTTTCGACGCGGTGTCACATTTCAATCAATCTACTGAACGGTTTCGCACGTTTCGTTGACACGAGAGTAACGCTGAGTGGTTAACAATAAAGACCAGAGCTCGGCTGGTTTAAAACATCCACTCTCCGATGCGTAACGTCGCGTTCGCGTTACTCTCTCGCAGACGAAAACAGGCTCTGTTCGTTGTCATGTCTCGGCCACGAGAAAATCGGTTTGGAAAATGCGTTCGACACACGCGGCCACACTCGCTGCTGCCTAATCGTAGGATGCAACATAACACGTCATACACACGCGCACGTCGAGGCGATATTCTTTTGCATGTGCATGTGTTTTCGTGTGCGAGTATAATGTACACACACGCATATCTATACGTAACACTTCGCACAGGTCGCCACAATGATACATTGAGAGAGCGCGCGGGTCCGCTAGAAAAGAGAGAAGGGGGTCACAGGAGGAGGAGGAGGAGGAGGAGGGATAAAGGGTGGCGGAGGGAAAGAGAAAGAGGGATGGATGAAACGAGAGTCAGAGAAAGACAGCAGTCGTACCAGAGGCAATAGGTGAAAGATAGACGGATAAATGGATGAGGACGGGGACGGAGCGAACGTCGCGCGCGCGCGAGCGAACGAGCGAGAGAGACAGAGAGCGAACAGCCCAGGGGACGGAGAGGAAGCGGAGGGAGGAACGAAGGAAGAGAAAGAAAGAAAGAAAAAAGTACGTCGTTACACCTACCAAGCAGTGGATAGTTCATCCGTACAGAAGACGATTGAAGAGTTCCTCGGATGTATCACGGAACGTATTGCGTGTACTGCGTCGAGGAGCACAAGGACTCTCGGCATGACGCGAGAATCGAAGGAGAGGCGTTACCCCGCGCAGCACTACGACGACAAAACCCACCGTAGACTCGTTCGTGTTCCCAGTACGATATTCACATGTTTTTTTACGGGAATCTCGTGCGACAACACTGGATCATGTGCGATCAAGAGAGACAGAGATTCGACGGGAGTCGCATGAAAACGGGCATAATTCCTGTCCTGTCGCCTATAGAACCGATGCTCACCGTGTGCTTCTCGTTCGACCATCGCATGTTGTGTCAATAAGTCTCTCTCTCTCTCTCTCTCTCTCTCTCTCTCTCTCTCTCTCTCTCTCGCACGCACACACACAAACACACAATCTCTCTCTCTCTCTCTCTCTCTCTGTGTTTCGTATCGTGGGTACAACCCTTCGATACGATCCTGAATTTGGCTATCCCGCGGAGACCTCGATCGTCGAACAAAGTTAAAATCGGACGATCAATCGTCTGAACATACGTAGTACGTGTGTCTGATTCCTTTTATCAAATGTGTTCCGTGACTTCGGTTTATAGAATTCGCGTCTAGCTGTTCGTTGGAGGGCGTTCTTTCGTGGCGCGGCAAGCGTTCGGTAACCGTCGGCTGTTCCCGACGTTCTCCGGCGAAGAGTACCCGTGTGCTCCAAAAACCCCGAGAGAGTACGCGAGAAAGAAAACTGCTTTAAAGTTAAACTGCGAGGAGCGAATGTTTGTTTTTCGCTTTGTTCCCGGTCGAAGGAAGTTCAATGAAAATCCTATCGACCGATTAGAAACCAGCCACGACCATTGGCTACCGTTAAAAGATAAGTGTCAGAGTGATCATACCGTCGACCTGTAAATTAGTCATTCTAAGTTCCAAAGAAATAAACATAGAAAATCAATGATTTCCGAAAATTCGGTTCAGCTTTCCTTACACTCCTCCGGTCTTTTCGACGAATAAAACGTGCTCCCCTCGTCTTGCACAACAAGCAGATCCCCGTCTAAGACACGAGTAAATTCATATTATTGAGTCGCGATACAAAGAATATTATGTAACAATATTTTTATCTGCCGATGCCGTAATACCGCTATCGCGAGCAAACGAACAGGGCGCCACGACAATAATCGTTTTAAATAATAAACGTAATGAATATTTGTGAAACGTCATTGAAAATTTAACTGACCTACCGCTCGATCGCATTGGTTCGCCCGAACCCAACCGCGAGATATCGAGCAATACCAATTTCGCAACGAATAAACGTTTCGTATCTATTCTTCTGCGTGCGGCGTTAGACGTGAGCAAACCGTTCGATCGAACATGCCGCGGTGTCGTCAAAAATGAATTGTTCGTTAAACAGTTTAAAATATTCGCCGCTTTTCAGCCGCGTCATGGGAATACGAGAAGTTCGATAGCATGTCGCAGAGTGACAGTTGCATGATCTAACGAACCGAATATAGCTGAACGATATAAAACGTCACGAGTGACGATGGCGGGGAGAAAACTACCACGGATACTCGGTTCTCCCTACCACCGGTCCCGAGCGAATCGCGCGCTTGTTCTCGCTCGCTCACTCGCTCGCTCCTACATTTTCAGGTAACCCTTGCCACACACGCAGATCGTCTATCACCGTCGCTAGCCCGCCCCGCAGCCTCGGAGAAAGCGAGAGGTCGGACACATCAAGGAGAGAGAATATACGTGCATACACATGCGTGTGCATACGCGCGAAAACGTGTGCGTTCGGAAAACGATGGGCGGCGAAGAGGGAGGGGAGAGAGAGGGGAGGGGGCGAGAGAGAAACGGAGGAGAGTTGCGAGAGAAAGATGGAACGAGAGAAGGAGGGAAGGGGAAGTCGCTAATATCTGGGGCTCCAGCGGCCGCGCAACTCGCGCCCTAATCGAACTCTACAAGTCGCTTATTCTCCATCCCCACTTCCCACACCCTGCCCCTCCTACGGATAGGCAACCTATACTCGAGAGATCTCCCTTTCGCTCACTCATGCTTGCTCTTTTCACCAGTATTCAAGTACTCCCGTCCACTGTATCCAAGATCAAATGGCACTTTATGCAACATGAAATTAGAATTCGCTTTGCGAACGCCGGTTATCGTTCACGACCGCGTAACAATCCGGCCGCCTGGTTCTTCTCGCCTCGGATCGTTCGCTTGCAGACCGACAGACCACCACCGATTTTACACCGCGCGTTCGTAACACGAACGTGAAATAACAATAACACGTGCACACACGTGTATCATCCGCGCGCATGTGCCTTATAATTAAGATCGAAATAAATCACCGTCGACGATCGAGACGCGAACTTTTCTTTCTTTATCCGTTTACGCGAAACGTGCAAACGGATCGGAACGTGTACGCGTTCTAATTACCGGCGAGCTCGCATCATTTTCGTGCATGCTACTATTCACGAAATTCAGACGGACGCCTGTTACGTAACGTAGAATAGGTAGATTTTTCACTCACCCCTGAATCTATTCCTTGAGTATTTGGTGTTGTTGATCGTTGCTGTAAGTTGTGAAAACTCTGTAAGCAAAAAACAGACTGGTTACACGTCGTGTTTGTGTATACGACCGAAGACGAATAAAAAAGATTTTTCTTATCCTTCGAGATGGTCTCGCCTTTCTCAGCTCGAGTTCGACTTAAACTCATCTCATTCGCCTCTGTTTCTATTCGCAAACAATACGACCTTGAATCACGACTAAACAAAGAAGGTTCTAACGTTCTTGTCCATTAGTACGTGTAGAAACGACGTCGAAGGCAAAAGGTAAAAGGTATCGTGACTCGTACAGCACGTACTTGAGATTGGCTAGTCGACTGTGGCTGTGGAGATGCAGAGGGTGGTGGTGCCGGAGATTGCGAAAGAGCACGTTGCGGTGACTGACTGGAAGGATTGACTTGATTGGCCGGAGGCGGTGGTGGATTCGGTGGTCCACCTTGGTTCCAACCCCTTTGTTCCGTGTACAGACTGGAAGGATGGCTGGTTTGTGCACTGTATGAGTTTAGCTGAAAGATGGAAACAGTTGATCAGTACCGAGAACAACTGACACTGAAAATCTGTATACGACGTGTATACCTGATGATGACTGTACGGTGCGTGAGGTCTCGCAGGAGAAGAATAACGTTGCGTATATTGTTGATATGGCATAGGAGTCGGAGAACTCGGTCCTCCAGGCCCTGCGTGTAATCTTGGCGACCCCTGTTCGTGCAACATCAACAACAACGTGATCGTTAGAAAGGTAGAGAGCATATTTTTTAAAAAAGAAACTGTATAGAAACTGTCGAAGGCAACTACTGTACGTCACAATCGACGAGGCTACTCTTTCTCATACGAGAGAAGATGGTAAACTCTTCTGCTCACCGTCTGCGGAGGCCTCTGACCAGGTTGCGGATAAACCGGAGGGACGACCGGTGGCCGCTGAATGGGCCAAGGTTGTTGATAAGGCTCTGGCCCCATTCCTGGATAGTTCCCATGAAATCGGTGCACCGGCGTGGATGCCTGCAGTAACTGATTCAACGTGGGAGTAGGACCCGTAGCCTGGGATATGCTCTGGCCCGACAGAAACCTAGGTTGTCCCGGGAAACTGCTAGGCGTAGCACCCACGTATGCCACACGCGATTCGATCTTGGAAGCTGCATAATGTTCTTCCATTTCTGCCCGATGAACTCTCTCACTTTCATGTATTAAGTGTTTACCATGATAGTCCAACTGTTTCCCCGGAAAGTCTGCATGTTTTCCCACGTATTCCGGTACCTGCTTGCCCGAATAATCGGTCAACGACTTGGAGGGAAACTCGTTCGATTTGTTGGTATACTCCTCCGGGTAGTCGCGTATAACGTTCGACGTGAACGGATGTCCGGGATGGTTCGGGTGCCCGGGCGCGTCGAGAGGCTCCTGCTTTCCGATAGACTCCTGCGGAGCCTGTCCAGCCTCTCTCGGCGATTTTACTTCACCGGCAGTGTGTCCACCAATGTCCTCGCGGTATTGACTCATCTCGAAACCCGTGTCCCCGCCGCGATTCACATATTTAAGCAGCTGGGCCGCGCCCCGGGGCACTTTATCACCCGGCTCTGGATCCAGCTGCTGTTTCGTATTAACACTAGCACTATTCCCACCGACTTGCGGACGTTTCTGTGCACATTTCACGGACTCGTTCAGCTTCACATCGTTTTGTTGGCTCTCGGCTTGCGTCGCAGCCATGTTCTCTCCTCACGGAGCCATCGTCGTCTCATAAACTGGCCAATCGCGGGACCTCGTGCGTCTCGCGTACTATGTACTCGAAACCGTGATCCGTTTCAGTTGATTCTTTCCTGTCTTACTTAACTCTTTCCACCACATCCTCAGTCAGACTAGCGAGGTCTAAGCACCGTACTAACAATTTTTGCTTCCTGCCGTTTTCAAAGTAGAAGGAACCAAAAAAAAAACTCATACACGAACGTCAAAAGCAGCGTCGTATGGATTACGCCATCTTGCGGTACTGCCGCGAAATAATCGAGCGTTTAAATCCCGTTCGCAAACGGCGGCGGTTCTCGAAAAACCCGGTGGCCTCGAGCTCGAGGAATCTTCTCCTATAACACGGCGAACCATGAATATTCACCGCAATGTAACAATGTATCTTCGGACGTGTCAAACAAAATGCGCACGTATTCGATTGTCATTTTTCGACGGTCGATCCGCGATCGTGCCTCGTCATCAAAGCCGCGAGCTTGTCCAAGTATCGCTATGTACGAAATAGATTGATACAATCGTTGAATAAAATTAACCTTGCTGCGTTCATGTCCAGAACGAGAACAGTAAAAAAAAAACACAGAAACCCGATGGAAGATCCTTACAGTAGAGAGTAATCGTTCCCTTACGAAATACCGTACACTCGTTTCTTGAATCACTGTATGCTTCTCGGAACTTGCGTTGGAACGTTAAGAATCATATGATACACTCACTTTTCTCCTTTTCCCTGGCCTGCAATTTTGTACATAAAGTACTACATTTACTTCTGCCGGAAACGCATATACACGATCCATTCCACAGTCCCAATTAATAAATGAAAACAAATAAATGAAAAGGGCGTTGAATGAAACTATCTCTAGATCATTACGCTATGTAAATGCAACGGCAAATAGTCTAAATATTAATAGATTCTGGTAACTGAAAATTGATGTCGCGAGAAAATGGGACTGAGGATGATGCTGATGACGAGTATCAATTACCAAGGAAGTTCGAAATGAGAAACGTACGTCTCGAATACACATGAATCCTACGTATATGTAGAAATATTTAAAAACGATTAGTATATTGTCATTGCATGCGAACGATAAACGAATACTGTAGTATATGTATAGTTTACTATCGACTATCGACAGTAAACGTCGTGCGGTGCAACGAAATGCCTTAAAGGTGAACGATAGAAATTTCATGGTATTCAGTGAATGTAAAGTACAAAACGATTGATACTGTTCGATCGTATCGTATAATTATGCGTGTAGTACACGCAGTGTCCCGTGTATCCCTTATCGCTCGTGCATGCGTGTCACTGTGTACATGCCTCTAACGCGACGTGGTGTGCCGTTCCAATCTTAAATACGTGGCAACATTCATCGAAGTTCTAATTTCTTTTCTACTCTATCTCGTCTTGATCATAACGACATGTGGACAGCAGGTACTCATACATTTTCCCTGGTTTATTAAATGATCAGCGAGTGCTCGTCAGATACCTTTCCACGGGGCGAATAAATTTTTTTCGTACCCGGCTACGTGTCTGCATTGATTTCGATATATTTACCAAAGTAAAGGATCGAACGCTTCACGAACGATTCCTGTGGCTTTCATTCAACAATGAAGGGATGCACCTTAACGCAGAATGCGGCGAATATGTTAAGCGTTAAATCTAGCGTGATACGAAAACTGTCATTAGTTCCTCAAACACGGAGTTTATGAATAATACCCTTTCAGGATCCAGTCTATAAACGTACGCCGCTACGTTTTAATCGAATGGTCAGCAAGTGATGCAAAGGAAAAGAAAGAAATTAGGAACGATGAGAGCTGTGATTCTTGTTGGTGGGTATGGAACCAGATTAAGGCCTCTTACCCTCAGCAGGCCGAAACCACTCGTGGAATTTGCCAACAAACCGATGCTTCTGCATCAAATAGAAGCCCTGGTACGTCGAGAAAGATGTCTGCGAGAAATTTATGTATGATTCATTGGTTGCAACGTCGAATTTAGGTAGAGACTAACGTAACCGAAGTGATATTGGCTGTGTCTTACCGTGCAGAGGAAATGGAAAAGGATTTGGGCGAAGAGGCCAAGAAACTGGGAGTACGTTTGATCTTTTCGCATGAACCGGAACCGCTAGGCACCGCGGGACCACTCGCGCTTGTGCACGATCTGCTGTGTTCCAGTGACGAGCCGTTCTTTGTTTTGAACTCCGACATCATCTGCGAGTTTCCGTTCAAACAACTACTGGAATTTCATAAAAGTCACGGCAGAGAAGGTACCATAATCGTAACCAAAGTAGAAGAACCATCCAAGTACGGCGTGGTTGTGTATGGGGATGATGGGAAGATTGAAAGCTTTGTGGAAAAACCACAAGAATTTATATCCAACAAAATAAACGCAGGTATCGAAGCGTTGAACTCGGTGAATTCTTTGGAGCTTACCGTGTAGCTAAAATCACTTTTCAAACTTCACAGGCATGTACATCTTTAACCCGAGCATTCTGAAAAGGATAGAATTGAAGCCTACGAGTATAGAAAAGGAAGTTTTCCCGATGATGGCGCGGGACGGTGAGCTATGCGCGATGGAACTAACGGGATTTTGGATGGACGTTGGACAGCCGAAAGATTTCCTGAAAGGAATGAGTATGTACCTAACGTCTCTCAGACAAAAGTCGCCGGAAAAACTGTACTCCGGGCCGGGAGTAGTCGGGAACGTTCTGGTGGACGAAACTGCGACGATCGGGAAAGACTGTAGGATAGGGCCGAACGTCACGATCGGTCCTGGCGTCGTGCTATCGGATGGATGTTGCATCAAACGAAGTACTATCCTTAAGGCAGCTGTAATAAAAGAGCACGCTTGGCTGGACGGGTAAATTTCAGTACAAAACTTTTCAAACAATGAAATTTCGTCGCGAAACGAAGTCGTAATGCAGTGTATCGCGACAGGTGCATCGTAGGATGGAGAAGCGTCGTTGGACGTTGGGTACGGATGGAAGGTACCACTGTACTCGGCGAGGACGTAATCGTCAAAGACGAATTATACATAAACGGTGGCCAAGTTTTACCTCACAAGAACATTTCCAGCTCCGTGCCAGAACCGCAAATAATCATGTGACCGAAGACGATATTCGATATACGCGTATCGAGCGTAATCAACGACCAAACGATCCTACAAATAAAAAGTTTTTACTAACTTTTTTAATTACACGTAAACTGATATACATTCGTTTTGATCATGTTTTTTACATTTAGTATTAATTAACCAACTTTATCGGTAGTCCTCGCACTACTACCGCAGCCGCGGTCATGTACTGACTACAGAGGTCTTTCGACTTTGCTATCGCTCTCAACATCTCGGGTTCGTATGGAAGTTTCTCTTTTGGATCGACCAGAAACAAAGAGAAAACAAATATTGAAAAAGAAAAGTAAGGGATCATACAAAAATAGGAACACGTGTTAAAAATGAGGAGCAACGAAACGAAAAGTTTGCTTCGATCATTTTGCATACTAACTCATTATGAAATCGGTACACCATGCGTTATCATCGACTTCGGCCCACGGCGATGAGATCCAGCTGCTAATGAAATTCGATGTCATTTTATCGGTATCAAGGTCCGTGACTTCCCATAACATACCGATCACGCAAGGGCTAAAGATAAACACTTGCCGCCTGATTCTCTCTTCATCCAATAAAATATATGTGAAAATGAATTTTTACCTGCTGGCTATTAAATACTGATTCGAAATCCCATATGGCGTGTAACGACCACCTATTTTGAACAACTTCAAGCTACTGCAACCGAACAACATGACGATCGACTTTACCCTGAGCCTTTCAATCTGTTCAGGAGGTAAGTATTGTATTCCACTGCCATGGCCTATGTAACTACGAAATTAACATACTGTCAACGTCGTACGAACGGTGTATCCCGTTAAATAAACGTACATTAATATATCGCGATTAATTAACGCGTTTTCGAAGGCATCTCCGTTCGGTTTGACGTCGCAGATCATTTTCCACTTTGGAAGCCAACACTTGGCAAATGCGCTCATTCGCTCTCCCATTTTATCCAAATTTCCCGAAGGATTAATTATCCATGTCCCCATATTATCCTTTTCCTTAATCACTTTGAAACCGTTCTCCATCGTACTCTCGTGTTCCTTAAACAAAGCGTATGCAATATGCACGGACGGAAACCGAGTGACAGGCTGGTAGCTTAAAATCTCCATCGATTCGAATGGAACGTAATCCATGTGCTGCAAAACATTGATTTATACGGAACGTTTGTGTACCGTTTTAGAGAAGAGCTGAAAGTAACGGCATACCTCGTCAACGATTAAGACTAACGTTCCCCTCCTGGCATCTTTTAATTGTTGTATACAAGGAAGCTTTCCAAATATCGACAATATCACGTTGTGTGCAAGCTTCGTGTGCTCGGCAAGCACGTACTTTATCGCGCGTGCTATTTCTCCTTTCGTAAGAAAACATGCTGCCAATGCAACTCTTTTTAATAACCATTCGGATCTCTTCGATATACTCCCCCTGTAATAAAAAAGTATCATAGAGCTACGAACACGCATTAACTCAAGGTTACTCACTGACCTGTAATCGGACAGAAGTTTATCGATCATTTCTACAATGTCTTTCACCACATCAGCCTTGTCAGTTGGATCTGCCATAAACAGGATTCTCCATTCTCTCAACCATTCCTTCTCCAATGCTTGTACAGCAGCCTTAAATTATACACCATGTATCTGCATATAGAACGACTGATTGAACATCTTTACCATTACTAAAACTTTTTTAATACCTTCAAAGTTTTATTTTGTCTTTCTCTCATTTGCCAGTACAACTGCCTATTGGCGTAAGTAGCCGTTAGATCTGACTTGTTGTTAGACAGTAACTTTTGAATTTCATAACAAACGTCATACGAAGATTGCAACTTTGGTTTTGGTAGCGTTATACACAGAGGTTCTCTTTGTTCGGTTCCTGTTGGCAATATGGTAATATGTATCTCGTGCATTCTATTCATTTCGCTAAACTCACAAATATCAACGGGCTTGTGTTGACCAGTGATCTGGATCATATACCATTCTTTGTAATGGAAAAAACAACTTTATGATTAATTTGTACATTACATGGTCTTTGTACAAAGATAATGCTTCTTCACCTTTGGGCAGTTCAACCAGTTTCTCCTTTAAGCTATTGACTTTATTTACATTATTCGCGATAAACCCAACGTAAGATGGTACGAGTCCAGAAGATTGTTGTTCGCACAAAACTTCTTCCCTCATTTTTCTTTTCACAGACCTGTGCAATATGTGCTGACGAAGTATCACCGCGTGCGACTCGATCAAGTGACAGATAGCCTCGAGTTCATTGCCAATCTGCAAGTATTTACAAATCGATTAGGAGATCAGACAATTGATTTGATCGTGGCACAAAGCTGCTGGGGCGATACCTTTAAGTAACAAACTGCCAGCATTTTGTTTAGACTCGAGTATTCGACGCTACCTATGCTGCATCGCATGTTCGCGAGTAGATTCTCGATATCTCTCTGCACATTTTCCACAGAATCGGTTTCAGTTTCGTTCGGTGGTTCGCCAGTCAAATGGCACTCGTCTAAAATTTGAAATATCTCGTCCATGTTTACTCGTTCAATTCGCTTTTCAACGATTCTTCTGACCGCATGCAGTGACTCTAAACGATTCAAGATTCAAATTCAAACGTTGCTGACACAACGAGGGTAACGAACGACTCCGGTAAAACGATTAAAAATTCGTTTACCACAAACGATACTCGCGACGCTAAATAAAGTCGAGGATTTAAATGACAACGTAAAAGTTAATTAATCGACAATCGGAAGGCGATTTCTTCTGTAATTAAAAAGATTTACAGCAGGCCACAGCAGGCCTCTAAAACTAGGGACGCCATCTGGTAGTCGAACCAAGTGCAAACATGTTTACAAAATTTTCGTACGTGTTTGATCAAAGTCATATGCAAATATACAGTTTGCTGGTGTTAAAAGCAAGATTTCTTGCTCATACAGATGAAACGCTTGCACAGGTGTATGCGAAACATTTTATTCAAAAATATCATATAAATATATACAATTTAGTGTTACTATTATGGCCCTATTATGCCCTTTTAGTTCTATCGATTGCTTATAAAACTGTTATAAATGTATACACGGAATCTAACAAATAACTCGTATTACGTAAATTTAGACTTTTCCCGAGCTACGTGTCTTTACATGAACTAACATACTCTTCGTGAAAGAACGTGGAATTTCAATAAGTCTGCAAGTATCGCTGCTATTCAGAATATTCATATACATGTAAAGGCATCTTCATTGTATATTCATGAAGCGTCAGCTCGTAAAACTTTTTTCGCCAATATAAAATTTGTATAAAGATATCAACAATTCTTACGTTAAAATCACAGAAAATGAAGAATCCAATTTTTCAAGGGGAACGAGGCATAACGAAAGAAGCTAGCAGAACTATCTCATTATTCCAATACATAACGTCCTTCGAACGTTTGACCTTTCACGTGATCCAAATCCTCTCCCGCGTACGACACCAGAGGAGATATTTCTACGTCGCCTTTCACGAACGCCCCGGCGTTCAAAAGCCATTTCTTATGAAGCTCAAGTACGTCTCTTCGCGCAGTACATGGACAGTCCTCTCCGCTCGTATCCGCATTTTTTAAGGGACTGAAATCATCCTTGCGAGATCCCTGCCAAACAGTCAACCGTTTGGCGAACTTGAAAACGTCGAACACGAACTTCTCTATTTTAATACCGTTCGGTGATTTTGGCACGATTCTGTTTCCATCGTCGTCGACGAACGGGATCTTCTTTTTAGCGACATGGAGCTTCAATTCGTGCTCGTGATTCTTCGCAATATTACGGAGAAAATCTACGGTGAAGTAATGATTGCATATGTTCGCGGCGTTGTATATCAATTGGCCGTCGTCGGACCGCAGCTCGGCTGTCTTTTTCGTAATCTCGCTGTACTCGACTACCTGATAAATATCGTTTACCTGCAAGAATGTAGTATAAAAATTAGCGATACGACAGCACCGAGGGATATCGAAGCGTTTCATAACACGTACTCGGCACACTACTCCCACCGGCTCGTCCGGAGATGATTTTTCAATCACTTTAACTCCGCAATCGGCGGACGTTGATAAGCAGTATCCGATAAAAATAGGATCCGCCACTTTTATCAAGATGTTGTCAACGGAATGAACGTGAACGCTGCGAATTCCACGTTTCATCATATCGTCCAATATTCCTTGTACGAACAGGGCTCTGTACAACCCCCCATTTCCATCCGGTGCCTTAGCAATCTTGTACTTCTGATCAAGAATGATTTTCCCATCGAAAGTAAAGCAGGGTAGCATGCCTTGCTTAAAGGCTTTAACATTCTCCTCTTTTAAGTTGAAGTAATTATGCGTACGTAGGTAATCTGTGGTCGTATCGTGAGTAGCTTCGCTGGTCAATATGTACCTAACGAGAGAAAATGTCGGTTCATTTAAAACATAAATCATCCTTGTGAACAGGTGCCCTTACCATGTAATCTCTCCCTTCTTCCCATACTTCTTCTCAGCCATATTTTGTAAACGAAGTATTCTTTCAGCCTGCAACTGAAACAACGACTTGCCCGAAGGGAGATCGACGTTGTACATCCCTTTAGGATAGGGAACACCCAGTCTGGTGCCCTGGCCACCAGCCAACACTAACACAGCTGCCTTCCCATCAGCTATCTCCTCAAATCCCAGTTTCTCATACAACCTTATCTGTTCCTCGTCCACGGTCTTGACCGAGGCAATGTTCCCCGTAGGAATCGGTGATATTTCGTCGTCTAATGTTTTCTGAGACACGTCGGAACTGTGCAATGCTCTTTCAAAATACGACGTTACTTCCTCAAGGTCCAACTCCGAGATGTCACGATGCAGTTTCGTCCTCTCGTCTTCCGACAGTTGATCCCAAAATCTCAACAAATGATCCTGGCCGCAATCAGCCAGCCTCCTCTGCACGGACTTCATTTTCCCGTTTGACAGGCACGATTGTACTAATTAAGAATCGACTTATCGCGTTATCATCAAAGAGTAAACAGACCGAACAACTATGTTTGCGTTCTACTCGTGTTACGATAAACTGGAACGGGGCCGAGCAACAGGTATCCAATCGGGATATGTAACTTAACCAAATCCATAGATAGAGCATATGCTTTCGCTTTCACTGTTCCACGTAGCATGTTCAGCTCGTTTTCTCTTATCGACCCCTCTCGCCCTTCCAGCTTCGCTGACAATTCTCCTTTCCTTTTCCAGCATATTTTGTTTCTGCGGGCGTGTACCGGCCGTGAAAGGTCATGATCTTTTTTTTTTTGTTACCTTTCGAAGCCAAGCCTAACCGTAACCTTTTTGTGGAGAACGGTACTACCGGTTTCCACGCGTTTTTATTACCGTAGCTATCGATCGAGGTGAGGCGAAGAAATATCTACGTCCTGACGAATTCCAGGGAAGAAATTGATTTACGAATTCGTAAAAACGTTGCAGAAACGAAAGAATGAAACACGTTATACTGCGCTACCAAACGAGACCAAAATATTTAGGAACCCGACCGATTACGTGACATCGGGGGATTTTACAAAGAACAGTGGCAAGTCACCATTTGTTGAGCGTGAGAAAACATGAGCAAAGTACTCTGGTACGAGAAAGAAAAATAACGAACGAAGCGTCGACGAGAAAACCTCTCGCGAGGGATTTTTCATGGCAATGCTGAACGTAGAACCCGACCGAACGCGACAACGCGCGAAGGCTGGCGAAAGCCGAATGGCGGCAGGTCACGTGCAGGTTAGGCTGCATGATGACCGCCGCAGCCGCCGCGAGTAACTGAAGTTGCCTAGCAACGCGTCCGGAAGGCGGGTGGGGCCCAGCGACCAGGCAAAAGTGCCGCGAGGTTTCATGGCTGATATTTAAAATTACATCTTTGTCAGCTCTACGATTCTTTACGGAAGAAAATACATCATGCCATGCGAATCGAGAACATCTAAACGGACAGTCTTAATCATTGTACCTATATATTTACGCGAGACATTCTAAATGTTACACAGATATCTAGACCTCCCGATTCTGATAACTGTTTTTATTCTGCTGATAATTACGTCGTACGAATAATTATCTTTTCACTGTTACGAGTCGAAAATGTACACACTACAAGATATTGTTGTTCAAATATATCGCCAACAAAGTGTTAGTAATGAACAGTGACATGCGGTGGCGCTTGAAAGTCTCTCATATTGCTCAATGCATACAGAAGTGAACGCGATCTCTCTATTATTTCATTTAGTTACATGCGTGTTTGCTTGTGACTTACGAATAGACATCATGCCGTACCTGTCTAAATAACGTTTTCGGTAATGCCGCAGCAATATTACTAGCTGTAATAAAATAAGTTATGCGTAGCGATGTGATATGTCCGCACGTTCATGATAAAGTACTCGCCCTTTGTAAATGTATTTCGGTGAGTTACGTTTATGCCCGCTACTTCCAAGTTACACGCAAGTTCGGTATCGCTGACTCGTATAATTTCTTTAAAAAAAAATTCGTCATCAATTGTCATGCAGGCCGCGAAACTAATTAGCGTATCCGTCGTGACAACTAACGGGTGCTGCTACGGGTCTATCCGGGACATTTGTTTCCCGCACGAGCGAACGAAACGGCAGCGAACAGATTTCGCTGAGTTTCTCGATTCTATCGCAGATGTATTTATACACTGTTATTTTTCAAACATCCGTCCGATTCAAGTTTTATTTATATGGCCTTCGACAGGTTACGAGACACGTCCTTGAGTTCTCTTATTTCGGCAGTGTTCAAGTTACATTGTTCAAAGTATAACGTTTCATCGAAATTTATCAATTCTAGACGGAGGTTAAAAGTTCGTTATATTTCTCATTCATCCCGTACACCTATGTCCCGCGAGAGTCTGTGAAAAAAACGTTGTCGCAGAATCTTCCATGTAATGTAGAAAGATAAACGATTTTAAGTATTCTCAGAGTTACGAAATTTATAAATAGCATCTAACGATACCATGTTTTGAAAGACATACTCTATATTTTAGGTGCCAGGTGCCTAGGAAGCAGCTGGCAAGATGGGCAAGCTGTTGTCAAAGATCTTTGGCAACAAGGAGATGCGAATTTTGATGCTAGGATTAGACGCTGCTGGGAAAACTAGTATCCTTCGTATACAGGGTTTCGTTCCCAATTTTTCTTACAGAAGACCTTGTCGAGGAGAACCGTCGAGGAAAAGAGCTCTAGGAAACGATTCCACTGTGTCATTTCCTTAATTACATATCAGCAATACTATATAAACTTAAACTAGGACAGTCTGTGACAACAATACCGACTGTAGGATTCAATGTAGAAACAGTTACCTATAAGAATGTTAAGTTCAACGTCTGGGTGGGTATAGAATGGCGATGATATTGAAAAGAGACACGTTCATGCCAGTTAACGATAATATCTTCCAACGCAGGATGTCGGTGGTCAAGATAAAATACGTCCACTCTGGCGTCATTACTATACCGGAACACAAGGACTTATTTTTGTAGTAGACTGTGCTGACAGGGATCGGATAGACGAAGCACGCCAAGAGCTTCATCGCATTATAAACGATAGAGAAATGCGAGACGCCATTATTTTAATTTTTGCGAATAAACAAGATCTTCCAGATGGTAAGGGAGATACGTCAGTTAAGGAAATAATGATTCACGCGTTCTGGATGTTTGAAGGCGTAAATTAACTTGGCACGTTTTTCAGCAATGAAACCACACGAGATACAAGAGAAATTGGGTTTAACTAGGATACGAGACAGGAATTGGTATGTTCAACCATCATGTGCCACGACTGGTGACGGGCTTTACGAAGGCCTTACATGGTTGACCAGTAATCATAAATTATGAGCAGATATTTATTTTTCATCGATTAGCCGCATACCAAGAATGTACGTTTGCTTTCTATCTTCATTTTCGTTTGTTTTTTAATCATCATGTAGAGGCTCTATAACACAACTGACAATGATCATTAATAAGAAACTAGGAACGGGAGGGAGGGGGAAAGTAATTCGAGCGTGCGAGACAGCAGCGAACATAAAGCAAGCATTAATTATTATTGGATTGGCGTTCAGTAATATTAATACTATATAAATAGAAATTTATCGAAGTACCAAAAGATATAGACTTTGTTACTAACTGTTTACTAAAAGTCCGTGGAAAAAAAAAGAATAGTTAATACATCAATATCGATTAGAAGTAATCACGTTCAGCATTTTACTATAATTTATATATATATATATATAAAAATATATATAAATAAATATATAAATAAACATTCGCGTGCGTGCCACATTATGGGATGCTAACTATTGTAAGTGAACGCGGAAGTTATAAGAGCTACTTATGATATTAAGGGGTACATTCGATTCGGAAGAATTATCTCCTCATGCATTCTTGAATTATCGTCCGCGCGATTAATGATTCAAGTTTCATATTTTGTCCAGAACGATTGGACGTCGAATTCAATCTTCACCGATCGTCGTCGGAGCTACGTAATATGTATCACAAAGTAATATTCATACATATAATCTCACTGATGTACGTGATTAAAGGTTCAAAGCACTTGCATTAATAACTTTATATAGCACGGAAGTATCAATTTTAAAAGTGTGTTCCTGCTATCGTTTCGTTTTTCCTTTCTTTTTTTAGTAGTAGTCTTCCAGTTGAGTCACGTTTCTACGAATATCAACGGGACTTCTTTGAGATAGATAGATAGGTAGATAGACAGAGAGAGAAAGAGATTGAAAAAAAACATACTTCTGGCTACGTCGCGTGTATTTTCTTCTGCATAATTTCAAGTGAAACAGTGTACGAACACACTTATATACGTACACCAAACGGGGTTGTTCTGTACGCACAAATGGCTAGCCACGGGGCTTCGAGCTCGAGAAGAAAAAGAAAAATAGGAACAATGTTACCTATAACGGTGACAGCATCAAATCTGCCAATATTTTTTACCAATTAAGCGATCGGATTACGCAAAACTAGAATTAGGTCACACGGAAAAAGAGTCGGACAGTGTTTTTAAATGGGTGTCGTTCTCATTTATTTTTTTATAACAACTTATAGAATAAGAGCGGGGTGTTCGTCGATTTTGTTTCTCCGCAATTGACCGAGGAAGGAAACGTTTCACTGTCGTTTCAATCAGTCGTTCTCTACGTACCTAGCTTCGTCTACGCGTTAACGAAGCGTCGCGGTGATATCCGCACGTTGCTCTCGCCGCTCCGATTTTCTTTTTACCGTTTACCACCGTTTTATTTGCATTCCACGATTATGTTAAGATACTAGGATTTTAACGAATTGTATTAATTTACGTTAAAACGAAGCGCATTGACAACATAATGCAGATACGACAAGTTCGTCAGATTCTTTTTCTTGGCATCCGTACCATTAATGTTAAGCGTCGATTTCGTATGAGAACTAATGTGAATGCATTAGCTCGTATCGAACAAGCCACGAGCAGGCTTTGGAGAGGAAACGATAGCCTGTTCTTTCGGGGTACGCGCCCTAGCATTGAGCAGTGCTCTATGGCTATATATTTATACATATGTATATGTCTATACTCATTATTAATTTCGTTCGCGTGAAAAGAAATTTTGTAATATCATCGTGTTCTCATTCTCCTTAGTTGTAAAACGTGAGTGAAACAAAAGTGACTTCACTGAGAAGTACCCGTACTAGGAAAACGAAAGTTGGAGCTTTTCAATGATATCAAACCAATAGATTTTGGCAATAAATTTTATTCGAGAATCAAACTAAAGTTGAACATTTGTCGATCATAGAGTTAAGGATGTATTGGCTATATAGNTTTCTAAAGTGCATAAACTTTTGGGATTGACTGTATAGCCAGTACATCCTTAAACGAATTGTTCAAAGCCTGCAATCAAATGAATCGATCCAATTAATTTGAATAATTCTTCTAACAACGCAAGTTTCATCTATACATTTATTCATCTTCTGCTCGCAGTGTCAAACGGCGAAAGCATTTATGGTCGAGTTACAGACTTTATTTCGAGAAAGAAACAAATTGTTGTTAGTTAAACCTGTCGTTGGCCAGTGGCATTGTCGAAAACGGATTTATTGTCAAAGTAAGCATTCGGTATTGTTTGGTTCACACGTGTGCGTACCTTCTTCTACATTTTCCTACAATTTTTTTAACAGGGGCCATTCAGAACGCAGGGCTCAATATAAAACGCTTCGGAGCATAAGAGGAAGAAATCGGTTGACTCGGTAAAATCATCAGCGTTTCGTAACGTTTGCGCTCCATGAATCGTGTCCTTCGTTTCATACAAAATTAGTCAGAGACATTTTTTAAAACCAAGGAACGAACGTTCGCACGCGGTCGAATCTTTTAGACGGAGGAACGCGTTACAGATTTAGAGGTGATACGACTATCATTTTATCAACACTTGATTTCATTTGACTGTAATCGCGGTCCATAAAGTTCAGGAATTTGGAAAACGCTGCCCCTCTACTATTAGCCAGAGAATTCTCAATGCACCGTCGATCGTTTCGGATCACTTTTTTTTTTTCACAGTCGACGACGACTTGTACAACATTACGCGTGAGAGAGTGTTTCTCGGTCGTTCGTTTTAACCGCTAGGATATTCGTACTATGGTAACTACATTGATCTTTTGTATAAATTTTTGAACCGTCTAGCTGTAGATACCCAAAAGAATAAAAATGAACAGCCATACATTCCTTGAAACGGAGTCAAACTTTGAAGTACCTTCTCAGAAAGCAACACTTCTAGAGGTGCAACAGAATCTTTTGGTTTCTAGTAAAACATCTAAATGTATGATAAACGTAACGCTACAGCGGATACTAATACAGATAAATAACGATAATTTTTACAAAATTGGAAACCGATGAATCCAGAAAAAGATATATGTACTTGTATATTATTATTATTATTATTATTATTATTATTATTATTTGTATAATAAAGACACCTTTAAATTATAAAACGAATGGACGTTGTTTCATCGAGATATAAAACGAACTTATATTCGAACAGAACGTATGTAATTGCACTTAATTTTCGTGAATGATCATTGAAATATTTACAAACTATCGTAACTGTCCAATCGGTAGTTTAACGACAACGTTTATCTCTTAACTGATCAGAAGAACACAACTTTATCAAAGTTACACTATTCAGTGTGGAACAATATATATTTATACATGTATATTTAAAAAATATTTTCAATCGTTATATCACACATCGTATCGTGAACAGATCTATGAAAATAAAACGGATATTAAGACAAATTATTTACACCTTATTAGTCGGTTTTTATGTAATAACTCGCGATCAGTCGAGAAGCTCGTGCACGAATCTTTTATCAACAAATGTCGATAATGTCCTTTCTTCGGAGATGTACGTTCCATTTAGAAACTCGTTAATACTACAACTGTTCTCAATAATAAACCTCACGTACATATACATCTTACATCCCGTATAATGCGTAGAATTAGAATAATAATAGTAACAGTATCGTGTCCGTGTATCTGATTAGAAATGAAAAACTTCGATATGAGATTCTTTTAAACGATTACTTACATTTAAGTGGTGTATATCGCTGGATTAACAATTTCGTGCTTTTCCTATCGCATCTCGTTTACGAAGTCGGTCTGCACACTGGTCCGTCGGGTTCCCGACTATGTACACGAAGAAAATACATGTATCTCTTCTCTTTACCGAATTGATTTTCGAAATTCATCCACTACGTAATTCCTATTTCGACATAATCTTGAGACGCGCTGTAATGAATAGCTCTATGCTATCTAGTGGGCCGCTGTTCTTCTATTAACGCGATCAGGCGTTGCCGAGTTTTCTTGTTGTTCTGACAAGCCGAGGAAATCAAACCGATCAAATGCTTCACGGAGTATTCCTATAATGAAAGTTACGATGCTTAAAGACCGTTGGATTCGTCGTACGGCAAAAACCAGCCTCAGATACCTTGTGCTCTTTCATCCATTCCTCTAAACTATTCTCCGGCAGATAATAAGCTTTGATATACAATTCAACGTACTCCCTGTGAGGCATCGGCCTTAGACAAGTGATCGTCTCGAATTTCGATTTCAGTTGCGTGAAATCGAGCTGCATCAGTGCCCTACCTCCGTTCGAACACTTCTTAGCGTAAGAGAATCTATGAAAAGAAATCCCGAAATGAACGAACAGTGACGAAAGGTGAGAGGAAGAGTGACGTACCCTTCTACCAATGTATGAGTTATCAAATGTGCCACGTTCTCCCATACAGCGTTGTACACATCGTCCGACAAAGGAAGACAGCTGCCGATATTCTTTAGCCTTTCATTCAAAACGCATATCTCCTACGAAACGATAAATTCTCTCTCTCAGCGTCGAACGTGTGACTCGTGTTGGAAATAAATACCTGAAGCAACGCGTCTATGTATCCGCTGTGCTGAGACATGACGTCTGTCACCTCCCAGTTGACTTTATTCATCAAATTCAAGATGTTCGCAACGTCGAACGCTTGGGACGCGACCGCCATGTAGACTGGTTTTCGCAAATCGGTCGTCGACGCGATCGTTTGCATGTAAAACTGATGAAGAAAACCGCGTTGCGGGCTAGCGCCGATGAGATGCTCCTGATAAGGTTTCAAGCTTTCGTATTGTTGACCTAAAAATATTAGAGATTCCACCGCCACGATGCGCTCGGTCAAGCCGTGAAGTTTCTCCGGTTGCGAGAGATTCACGATAGAGGAGAGTTGCGGCTGTCGCACTTTGTCGGAGTTCGACTTGACCGATGCGTCTTCCGCGTCGTTCTCGCAAATGATCAGATTCTCTTTGATCCTCGCTAAGGATAATTTCAGTTTCGGGCTGTACAAGGAATCGCTGTTTATTTGCTGAAACAAGAGAGAAACGTTGCTGATCGTAATCGACTCAGCGGTTCGACAGAACGGCTCGCGAAAAATTTTACCAGGTCCGAGGTGAAGAACAAGTGCACGGTATAAAAGCACAACTCGTAGAACTGTATCATGCTCTGTATGACAGTGACCGCGATCGATCTTAACAATCTGGACATTTGTAAATACTTTCCGCAAACGCGCAACACGCTCAGCGTCGTGTTCGTGACCATCGGTCCCGACTGTTTCAGCTTGCATTTCTTCTTATTTGCTTTAGCATAATCCGAATCGTCGACGTATTCGTCTTTCAATTCGTCGGGAATATCGTCGTCGGATTCGTCAGAGAAATACGCTGGAGGATTATCCTGCGACACAGACGTGTTTCGTGTACCATCACGTGGCAGAAAAATGATCCGTAGGAGACAGTACCTCGTTATCCATCAAAATATCTTCGTCCATCGTGTCGTCTAAGCCGATAGAAAACGGAGACGCGCCGCCCTCCAAGCACTTCTGAATCCATTCTATTCCCATAGGACTGTCGTTCTCACTGACGTTAGCGTTGTCCAGGTTGTTCCACGATCTACAACTGTTGAGCGATGATTTGAGACACTTGAACTCCTGCAACTGAGTAGCCACAAAGTTCGATTTAACGGGGCACAATTCCCATCCATCGTTCTCCAAGAATATTCGAAGTTCGTCTAATCGGGACGCGTGATAATGCGAAAAGTACGACAACGATTGCTTCCTTATAGATTCCTGTAGGTTCTCCGACTTGAAGTCGCACAATTCCTCCCCGATCTCCATCAACCTGCAAGCATTCTCTGTCAACGTACACGTCCGTCACTCCCGTTTAGGGCCCGTTTACCTGTTAACTATGCCTAAAACCTGGACAAACTGTTCGAACTTGATGTAAGTCAAATCGGCGTTCATCAGGAATATCGATATCTTCATTTCAACGTCGTGCCAGACTCGAATCATACTGTTCTCCAATTTATGTTTCACGTACTGTTTGCTAAAGGTCTCTTCTAAATTCTTATCGTCCGTGGTAAACTCAGCTTTTCTCTCCTGGCTGTTGTGCCAATTCACTACCAGGTAATACGAGCTCAGAATCGTCCACAACGATTTGCACAACTCCGTTAAACAGGCGATGCAGCTTTCGCGGGGCACCGATCGGCAGAGTTGTTTGTACTGCCTCTTCGTGTCACCGCCTGCGTACGAGTGCACGGTCGCGAAAGCGGTATTATGAATCGCAGCGGTGAAGTGCATGTGCAGTTGATCCATCGCGGACTGCGTTTTTCCCAATAAAGTATAAGCTTCTTGGACGGACGTGTACGTCGTCACGTCGAACTGCGTGCACATCTTCGACAACGTGACATCGAGGGCTTCCTCGGCTTGCTCCAAAATGTCTTGCAGCTTTCCGTTCAAAGCGGCAATGCAACGGAAGTGCTTGTACGTCTGCGCTGCGCTTTGACATTCCAAGAGTAACGAGATCGCTCTGGGATAATTCTTCTCGTTCAACAACTCTTGCAAACGATCGCCTGTACGTTGCTGGAATCAATAATGAGCGTTTAAGCGGCTTGTATCTCGGTCGAACGAATGACAAAAAGGAACCTACCAATGTTTTTATCGTATTTAAATTGTTTAACAATTCTTCGACGATCTGCCGTTTCTTATAATTAGCCAATATGCCCAGACTAGCAGTGGTAAATTGCCTCTCAGCCAATTTCAGATCTGCCCTTCCCATCCTACATATTTCCAACACATCTTGCAACTGTTCTTGTATCAACAAGATATTTCCAAATTCCTTTTTACAAGCATTCTGCTTCTGCAGTATGAGCTGCAGGACCTTCTTGGAGACTACCTGGTGTTGCTGTTTCAACTTTTTGTAACACTTTTCGATCTCTTTAGATTGCAATACCTTCGGCAACTTTTCTAATTCGTGTCTAGAGGGATCAAAACTATGATCCGTATTGAAATAAATCCCTTCTATCGATTCTAATATATCTTGGTCGGGGATAGGTTCGCTCTCGGTCGACTGGTCGGCTTCTGATTCTACGTCGTCCAGTTTCTGTGATTCTGGCGGATTAAGTAGATCCGGGTGCAAACCCATAAGCGGGATTTTGGTTGCATTCTGTAAGTGAGTAACAATGGAAAGTATGAGCATTCCGTTCGACGTCGAACGCAACTTAACCTAAAGTACAACGCGAAGGGGTTAAGAAAATGATTCTGCACGTCAAATCGTTGAATGTAAATAAATGGATGAGATCGAATGTACCTGCTTGTTAATAAGACCGAAGAATTTATATTTCAGATCCTCCATACTGCAAACTCGTTCAACACTTGGTTCGATACATTTTCATCTGTCCATTGAATTCCCTACCGTTTCTATCCGTCCGATCGGTACGCCGATTAATATTCGCATTTCGTCGCGGTTACTTAATTAACTCCATTTCGTAAGTACATAGCTCGCTGTTGCTGAAATGTCACGTTCTCGTGGCTCACATATGTATGTACTACGTGCGATGTGCGCGTCTATCAATATCAATATCAATATTCTTCCAGGTTAAGTGCGACGCGAACTTACCGCGGGAATCATTGAGTTTTCAATAAACAATAAAGTTTTGAACGTCAGTGCGCTCGCGATTCTAATAATCTAATAATCCGCGAGAAACGTAATGGCAGGCGATATTATCATCAAACGGAACCGCGTCCCTTTAAAATATACGACGCACATTTATTGTTCAATCCCAGCTGCAGCGAGTCAGATGGTGTTTCTAAAAAAAAATTCAATAAGAGCTTCTGGGGCGATTTACTTCGAGCGTAGGACGAGGGATCTTTCAGGATCTTTCAATATACGAAGATTTACTGCCAGTAAGCTTTACTGAAGCCGCGTTATACAGTTGACTTCTTCTACTAGTTCCGGGAAACCATGCCATAGCAATCCGGGAAATCTTACGTTTATATACTCAATTATTTCATGTCTCGGAGTCTCCTCGTCATTTTCAACCGGGTATCAAACATTCGTGTACGTGTATGTATTATTTTATTAGGCGATAAAGATAGGGGTAATGACGTGTTGGCAGGATCTTTGACGAGTCAGGTATATCTGAACGATTTTATCGGCGAACATGAATAATGCATGACCGTAATATCATCCACGATCACATCGTCAACATACGTGACATATGTTACATGATACACATAATTCGCACCCCTGAACAGTGGCTAAGTGTTTCAGCGTATCCAACCATATATTTTAGAAAGTTAGAAGGCCTCCGCTTCTCTGTAAAAGTTCCCAGTAAAAGTTTCACCTCTTTTTAATCTTAACCGTATACCCGGTGAAAATTGCAAGTTCTTCGCGCGCGAACTGTATGTTCGCTTCGCGCCAATAAATGTGTCGCAACTTTTCTCGAACTTTATGAACATAGCGTAATGCGTAGGCGCGTGTCGTATCGTAACGTTAATCAAATTTCAGGGAGTGCACGTAATGTTGCAGGACAGAATAGATTTTCGCGTTGCCGCCGGAGTACGCGATTCGAAGGGACGAGAAAAGAAGGAAAAAGGATCGTTCCAACGAAACGTATCGCGTGTCAGTGTCGACTCGATCGAACCCAGGGATTCCTCGAAATTTACCGAGCCGGCAGTTACACCCTCCGATTCCCAAGGGTGACCCAGCGCGAGCTCGTCATGCTACCCCTGCCGCTTGAACGTGCCGTTGTAACGATAAACAAAAGTTACGTTACGGGCACGAAGGGGTTGAAATCGATGCGACGTGGCAGAGGAAGAGGTGCGTGGGTGTTCCAGGGTGAGGATTCGATCAGGCTGGTCTGGATTGGTCGTAGTCACCGGGGCCCACCAGTCGATTGGTGGAACACGTTCTGCGTAACCCTCGACCGAAGCGTTTGACGACGGCGCGAATAGTGGGGACGGTAACGAGTGGTCGGACATAGCGTGTACGACGGTCGACGATACGTACGCAGGTGTGTTCACAGTGCTTGTACACCCCGCGTCACGCGCCAGCCAGCCACACTCGGTGTCGAAAAGAGACGGAGGGTGGCTGTGTGAACGAGAGAAAAAGAATCGCACGCGACGAGTGGAGAAGGTGGTGGTGGAGGAGGACGACGAAAGAACGATCGTATCATTCCGCGGTTTCCTCGCTCGAAACGAAAGGGTCGGTGCGCCAGCCACGGCGATCGTCGACTTTGATATTACAGGACGGTGTCGTCGGTCGGGTCGGGTCCTCGAGGAAGGGACGACTTCGACGAGTTCGCGTTCCACCGAGCATCGTTCACAGGAATCGGCTCGCCCCTCTGTGTCCTCGTTGACAGTGCGCGCGAAGCTAGCTCGCTTCACCCACGGGAAGAGTAGTTTAGCAGGCCGAGGATGGTTCAAAGAATCTGCACCAGCGTGGCCGCGCTTAGCCTCGCCCTGAGTGCCTGCGTTGTTTTGCCGCGCGCCGTCATGGCGATCGACTTGAGTCGGTTTTACGATCATTTCAACACGAAACGTACAGGTAAGCAAGCAACCGAGCCTGTGCTCGGCCTCCTCCGACGACTGGCGCGACCTGGAACGATGCCGCGGGCTGGAGAGTTCGACAGGTTCGCTCGACGTTCGTCTAAACGTAATTTTCATTCGTTCTACGTTCATACGATCTTTCTAAGATCTCTTCTGTCCCGTTGTAGGTGCACGTAGTACATGTTCCTTTATTTACGCTCGTTAAGGAACACCGTTTACCCGATCTACGCGACACAATTTGTATGTTTTAATCCTGACGTGACAATATCGTTTAAGTGGCAATTTGAATCCACGTGGTATTCTAAACGTATCACGATTCATCCTCGTGACACGGTCTCTGTTCATTCAATGCAACATGCTAAACGGCTCCAAGCAATAAACGTTACTTTACCGCTGCTGGATTCCTTTCAGCGGACAAACACCGCGAATTTATGTACCTCGTACACCTACGTGTCGAACAGCCGTGAACATTCGGTTCCGACGTTGTGTCTGTCGACGAAGTTCGGGCTTCTCGTAGCGATCGAGTCGTCGTCAATTAAACGTCGAGTCTGTCAATTCGTTGAACGTTCGATTGACCGATCCGATGGAAAACGTTCGTGGCGATGCGACGACGACGACCAATGTCGCGCGTAAAAGTCGGCACGCTCAGGTTCCTCGAACGGTACGAAGCCGATACGATACGTAGTCGCATGCTAATTTAGGCATTGCTACTCACGAAGATCGAACGGGCGAGCACGCGCGCGCGGAGGCAAGCACTAATCGGGAGAGCACGTACGATGCATTTCCGATGTGAACAAAATTGATACGAAGCGCGAGCCTGTTCGCGATGTTACAGGTGACGCGTGCCATCCGTACGAGCCGTTCAGGTGTCCGGGCGACGGTCTCTGCATCTCGATTCAATATCTGTGCGACGGGGCGCCCGACTGCCAAGATGGGTACGACGAGGATTCGCGACTTTGTACTGCTGGTAAAATGTCTTTGATCGATACTTATTTTCTATCGACGTTCTCTTATCCTCGCTCCCTCTCTGCCTCGATTTCTTGATCTTAAGCGAAGGGTTGGAAGGACTCGACGCGTAACGCTAAAGGAGGTACAAGGTTACGAGGCCGTTTCCATGCCGTACGACCGTACGGCATTAACCGATATCGAGCGTGTAGCCGCGTCTGATTCATGCTCGTTCCGTACCACTGCCTGGCTGACCGGCTGTCGCCAGACTCCTAGCTCTGCTCGTTGAACCATCCGTTCGGTTCTTCAGCTACTTCTTTCTCGTTTGTTCACATTCAGAGACAGAGACTTGGAGAAGTGCTAATTTGTTTTAGCGAAAAGACCACCGGTCGAGGAGACTGCTAGCTTCCTGCAGTCCTTGCTGGCTAGTCATGGTCCTAATTATCTTGAGAAATTGTTCGGGAACAAGGCACGGGACACGCTGAAGCCGCTCGGTGGAGTCAATAGAGTCGCTATAGCCCTTTCCGGTAATTGTCAGAACGTTCGTGGCGCGCGCCGCCGCGAGGAACCGCTCCTCCGACGAGGAAGATTAATCGAAATTAATTCCTGGCTCGTAGAATCTCAGACGATCGAAGACTTCGGCGCCGCCCTGCATCTGATGCGCTCCGACTTGGAGCATTTGCGCTCCGTGTTCATGGCGGTCGAGAACGGCGACCTGGGCATGTTGAAGTCGATCGGTATCAAGGACTCCGAGCTGGGGGACGTGAAGTTCTTCTTGGAGAAGCTCGTCAAGACCGGTTTCCTCGACTGAACTGCACACTCCCTTGGAACGTCACCGCGGAGGCACTATAACGTTGGCTGTATCGTATTACAATCGGACTATCTTATCGCTTCGAAAGGTTCCCCGCCAAGTTCGTTTCCTTCCGTCTCCCGTTCCCTAGCCCCGCTCCTTCTACCCCTGTCCCTGTAGCGTCTTTTCATCTTTTCGCTTCCCTCTTGGACGCTGCTCTTATTGCTCCTAGTTCCTGCTACTGAGAGAACACCGAGCGAGCACCGAGATAAGACGAGAGATACCTATTGTTACAGAGAGGCATGGGAGTACTGAACGTTTAAACTTTCGTTAAATGTCAAGGGTCGACGCTATTGTATACCTGTGCACCTTTATCGACGCGTTTTACTTCAATGAACGTGTTCTAACATTTACCATATGCGCACGGAAAGGGAAAAAGGGAGGACGTAGAGTCTAAATGGAAAGAAGGGAAAGGGAGAGTCGCGTGTATCTTCGGCGACACGAGAGCTTAGTAATTACCAGGTCAATTAATTATATTTTAGCTGAACGCCCTGTTGGTCGTCGCAGAGGCTGCGATCGATATTAATTGGGCACGGCGTATCGTACAATCATCATCGGAAGGAGGAGTAATTTCGGTTCATCGATGATAAATAAATCCACACTGAAACGTTTATGGTACCAGATGAAAATAGAAATTCTTTTATGCGAACGCGTTCAGTCTCGTCGTTCGACTTTCCATCTTCCTCTCCGGCGTATACGCGTCGGTTCTCGCTCGTTCTCGGACTCCCATGCGCTTTTTTTATTCTATTCTAATTACCGAAGCTGCGCTTCGATGGCTAACGTTCGTGATATTCGTGGTAACTAAACGACGACGCGTGCATGAAACTCGCGCATCGGCAAGGCATATATAATTATATACTTCTCTGTCGCACTCTTACATGCTTGCATAATTGGTCGATTACTGCTGGTACAGTACCGCGCATTTACAACATTAGTCCTACGGATTTCGGTATCCCGTTCGTATCGAGATTGTCTAGAGATTTCGCACCGGTATTTCATCGACACACGCAGTTTTCGATTAATGCGTTATACTTCGCTGAATATACTGTATTATCACGAACACGCACGATTGCATACGCGCGTACTATCCACAGCTAAATAAGTGAGGGACAATCAGACAAATTTTGAATAATACCTCTTCCATTATATACTTCAGAGAGAGAAAGAGTGAGAGAGAGAGAGAGAGAGAGAGAGCGCGCGCGCGCGAGAGATAGAGAGAGAGAGATGAATCACTTTGATACTTGAGGTATGAGAGAACGCGTTTGATTGCAACACGTTAGTAACGAATCGGAATTTGGTCGGATAGCTAGGGTGTAGATATCGTTAGAGAGAGAGAGAGAAAGAGAGGCGTTGGTTTCACTCAAACGAAATACCTGTACTCGTTTTAGTCATCGCCGATACGTACCGAACGGAAATACGTAGACATACCTGACTTGCGTCCAGTTTCTTTCGTTTCGAAACACGCTCGGATACGTTTATTATGCGACGACTTTGTGCAGGATCGATGCGGAGCCCTTACCGCAATTGAAAGGGTTTCGGATCGATCCTTTCTACACATATGCTGCGATTCAATCAATTCCTACACGATGCTACTCCGCAATGCGACATGCAAAAAGAATCTGTAACCCGCTTACGTAGCTTTCACATTCGAGACGTATGTACGTTGCAGCGAGATCGAGTGCACGGTCCATTTTGAATTCTTGTACAATTTCTCTTGCTGTGCAATCGACCGATCTAACGATAGAAAATGCGAAAGCAAAGCATGGACACACGTACACGCGACCACGCATATACATGTATGTGTGTTGAAAAAGTAATTCTATATATACGTATATTCTATATATTTTAAGGACGAGAAGCGAAGCAGGTACAAATCGAGCATCGTATCGCGTTCTTTCAGGGTATGACGCGCATTATACTTAAGACGATTGACGAAGATTACGATGACGAAGAATAATTTATGATGTGCTATAACGTATCGATATTTTCATTACGGTGAGAACGGAAACACAACATATCAGTATGGATACATATCAGTAATTTAATCCGGAGATGAGTGATTATCGCCGAATTCTCTCAGAGAGCCACTTACACTCAAACGATTCATCTATTACATGTTCTCTCATCGAAATAAGGATCATAAATGAACTTTGAGAAAATCTTTAGCCAGTCTGCGGAGAACGATGAACGTGGATTACGCTCTGGAGACTTCGGCGTGACATTGAAAAAACGCATCTCTACCTATTAAGCGTAATATCTTCTAGTCAATCAATGACATATCTTCTAATTAATAATATATATATATATTTAAATAAGTCTATATATATATAAATAATGACATATCAACAAAAGAGTCACTTTTATCAGATAGTAGATATAATATTTTGGTATATAAAAAGAAGTGAAGAAAAAATGGTGAAGAGAGAGAGAGAGAGAGAGAGAGAGAGAGAGAAAGCAGGTGTGTTCCCTCTAAATGTCAATTACGGTCCAAAGTAGGGCCTGGACCGAGGACAGGATACCGAGGGAAGTTTGTGTAAAGCTTTAGGGAAATCAAGGCTAACTCCTCGAAGGCAGGATCAAGGCGCTCCGAATCTCCGCTTCGCGGGCGCGTTGATCCTTTCGAAAATTCTGGATCTAAACTGTGTCTCCGACGTTATACCCAAGAGACCCACCAACCCCCACCGTCTCATCCTCAATTTCGACGTGTTACATTTAAAGTAAGACCGTTCGTCTCCGGTGGTAATTGAAATTAACGAAACCGAAGACGTACGACGACGACGCGCAGCGCGGTATGTTTCCATCGCTTTAGAGAGCAAGGAACACCAGTGAAATGCTTGTACACGCCACGCGCGTTTATTATTCCTTTAAAACGCACTTCATTTTTCGTACGACACGATCGACCGATGACAATCCATTGCGTTTCGTTGTAAAGTATTACATAGTATATATATTTTAAGCGTTAGACGTATCTATATGTTTCATTCCACGCTATCGGCTAAAAATTTGTAATCGCTTTCGGTATCGTTTTCCCTCCTCTGTTGAAAAATTGTGCAATTTCTCATTTAACGATTCCAAACTTTTGGCCAGTACCGTACGTTTTTATTAATATTAATATATAGGTATTCTGTTTTTACGAAATTACAGTTCCAGCGGACGTTTGAAAACCGGTATCCGTACTACTTTTTAGTTTGAATGTGGAATTTGTTTGAATAAAGGATATCAGACAAATGATGAATCATTGTAAAAGAACATATCTATATAATAATCCGTCCATAGTATTCGACTAAGAGGGTTACCTGTATAGAACGAGGCAAAACTTGCAATTCTCACACCCTGCAGTTTCTTTTCAAATACGGAGCATCTCTAATTCTTTGTAAAATGTAACGTAGCGTGAACGAGCATTGCCAGATGTTCGTGCACCACTCAAGAAAGTGTACAGAGCGCATATACATATAAACGCATTGATTGTCAAGACTTTGAACGATGTAATTAAAGAAAAACGTACACGAAAAAAGAACAAAAAGAGCAGAGCAGACAAATGCAAGAAACCACCAGACACAGGCCGTTGTATCTATGTTACTTTCAACTTCTGATTGTTCTACTGCCAAAGCATCATTCTTATTATACGGCAAACTGCGACGTACCGTACACTTGTAAGTGATCTTGCTTCTTAACGTTTTTGTACTTCTGTCGATTGAAACAAAATACAAATGTTCTTTGGAAATAAGTTCAGCGCGCGATGATCAATTTAAATAAAGTGAAAGTTTCTTCAGTTTTACTTCGGGTAATTAAAATTGCACCTGACCACATTGATCGTGCTCGCGTAATCGTTGATTATCGATTTAAAAAATTTCGAAAACCAGAATTTCGTTCAGTTGCGCAATAGAGAGCAATCGATTGCCGGCCCTCGAACAATCCTCGGTTTTTAATCGATCGTGAGCCGAGTAAAACAACGGAAATAATTCGTTCTCGGTTTGTTTCGCACATCGTTTTATTAGAGCGTCCAGCTTAAATACAAAAGTCGTTTAATGAATAAAGTTTATTCGGAATATGTCGACGTCTGTGCGTCATCACAGAATTTGTACGCTACTGCAGGAAGATATGTACACCTTATTCGTACTCGTTGGTCGGTTCGATCAATTGATACTTGTCTGTAGCTCCTCCGAGGTGTTTCAATTCTTCGACCAAATCTTTTATGTCGACCTTACGAGAAACTATTAACGTCCGCTGATTCTTGGGACCGTAGCTGTGCGACTTCAAACCCATCTGCCTAGCCACCCTGAGCGAACAAACAGGTTCCGTGGAATAGAGAACAATTCGACCAGTTTACACGTGGTACACTTACTGATGAATCACTGCTCTCTCGTCGTTCGTAAAATCGGCAGAGAACACTAGGTCGTTCATCATATCGCCCGAGAGATACTTCCTCATGATGTCCTTAGACTTATACTTCAAATCCTTCGTCGAGTCGGACGTGGACTTTAATCCTAGACCTTTTCTACTGATCTGTTGCTTGAGTCTAAATACGAGATCGTCGATCGTAACTTTGTTCGTCGATCTTAACGGAACGAAACAGAAATTAATGCTCACGTAACGGGTTCCACGATTCCCTGTTCCGATTTACCGAGACCACCGCCGGTCCAGCCCATTAGCTTCATTAATTTTTTCCCAATATTATCGTCGGAGATAGAATCAGTTTTCACTGTGTCGTCCATCATCGACGTACTAGTGACGTTGATGTCCTTTGTACCCCCGTGCTGCTTGATCTAAATGTATAGAATTACACGATAACGAATGCACCTAAAGATACGAAAAGATTTTGTCTTGCGAACCTTAATTGTATAATAATACTTCTGTAGTTGAGTCAACGCAGCGACAGATGCTTCTTTCTTTGCTGACTTCTGGTTCGAACTACAGGCTTCTGCCAAAAACTTTGTATTCACAAAAATACTGCATTTACTGGAAACGGAAACGAGTATCGTGTACGTGATCAGCTTGAAAGGTGAAATAAAGAAGAATTATTCGTACTGGGACTCTTCAACTTTGTCGAATTTCCACTCCAAGTGTCCACTCGATACGTTAATCGCGCCAGCAAGTATTTGTTGCGGTAAATCTCCAGGCCTCTCGACTATAACGATATCACCAAACGGACAGTCTTCCACTTTTCTTCTCTTTGCGGGTGGCGTGTCTAGAGAACTCGAGTCACAAGTGCTCGTAGATCCTGTAGAGTATCCAGTTGATTCTGTGGGTGTACTAGAGGATCTCGGGGCATCGATTCCTGAAATATCATTCGTCAAAATCATTTATTAAAGCTCCGAACTGTATCATGCTTATGTGTACACGATATAGAACTCACAGTTCTTAGATATACCTTTCACCTTTGAACTAGCAGCGTCTGAAGCCTTCACAAATGTTCTTTGTAACTTCGTCTTTTGTTTCTCTCTATATTCCGTGACAATGTCTTCGGCCAGTTCAGCGATCAGCTGCATAGTCTCCTTAGGATACCTGAGACAAATGCATCGTCAGTGCGTTGATTTACGTCAAATTTACGCAGTCAGGACTCACCTGCAGCCGAGTAATTCAACGTTCGTGAACACCTGGGCCAAGCAAACGAGCTCGTCTTCCGGGAATTTATCCTTATGTGCCAGCAAGAATTTACGTCTAAGTTCCCAATGCTCGTCGCATTCGTGTTCCGTCTTATGTTGTTCCACGTCCCAGTCGTCTTCGCCGTTCATTTTCATCCCAATATTGCACGATTTTTCACGACGAACTTTTAATCTACGCGTATACAAACACGTGTCGTGTACACATTATTGTTTGAAAGCTCTAACCATCTAATTAGGAGACAAAGCTTCCTGTTATTCACACGTTCAAAATCTTAATAAATGAATCCTATGTTCCCTTCTTTTCGATCGATAGGATAATTACGTTCTTTAGTTAAAATATTCATCAAATTCGAATACATAATCAGTAAACGAACCACCATTTTTTTTGGCAGTTGTGGCACACACATTCATGCGCCATGAACGAGGCTGAATTTTGCTTCAAATATTACGTGACATTAGTATAACCACAATAATTAATATATTTTAGTATTAATAAAATATTTCAGTATATAATGTAAATGAAAAAGGTGCTCCAAATAAATACGATTTTCGTAGAATGTGTAAATTGATTAAAACATGCCGCTCGTTTTACATGGATTAAAAACCTCCTTGAAGTTTCCTTCCTACATTACATCCACTTCCCAGTGGCCAGCAACGATAAAGTCTGCCACTGTCTGGCCACTGTCTGCTGATCAATTTTAACGGTTCGTGATATAATTTTGACAGAAATCAACTGACAGCAGCTTACGATGGTAATTAAACGTATAAAACGTTCATTAGTCATTTTCGTCCGAACGATTAAGTAGTGTATTACGATATACGCGGACTTTCCATCAGTGTTTTCGCTAAGAAAAACATCGTATCCCTTATAATTATTTATTGTCTCTTAACTACGTGCTATAAGTAAACCGAGGCTTCTTTTAAACAAATCGTGTATGTTTATGTCACATTTTTCTTTTACAGGGTAACGAAAGCTCGCTGCCTATGGAACTATGTTCCAATTGTAAGTGAACATCGAATAGAATTTTTTTACCGCGAAATAGCCTATTTTTTTCTTTGAGCCTTTTTACGCTCGAGCGATGTTGTAATTTATTATGAGCTCAAACGATGCCAGGAATTTGATTTAAAACGTTTTAACACGAAACTATACTGAAAGTAAATTCTCTCTGGATACAAATTTGTCGTTTTTCCCTTTAATTTGCATATCGTGCCTCCGACTTATTTTTATCTTCAACTAAACATAGCATCTGCAAAGTATCAGCCACCATGTTTGCTAGTACATTATATCATGACACTGTGTTATACATGTTTACTTACACGTTTACAGATCGCTATAAATATTGTAACAAGAAATAAACTTTGTTACATTTTTATATTTACTAATATGACTAAATATGACTTGATTTCTTAGTCGATGTCGATGAAATCAGAAGACTGGGTAAACGATTTCGGAAGCTGGATCTGGATAACAGCGGTGCTCTGAGCATCGACGAATTCATGTCTTTGCCAGAATTGAAACAGAATCCTTTAGTGCAACGTGTTATAGACATATTCGATGCAGATGGTAATGGAGAAGTCGATTTTAAGGAATTTATTCACGGCGTTTCACAGTTCAGCGTTAAGGTATGTGTAAATTCTGTCCTAGCTCCTGTGAGAAAGAAGATGATCTATTTACTTACTATGCGTCGTCATTTATTTCACTCAGGGTGACAAGGAGAGCAAGCTGAGATTCGCTTTTAGGATTTACGATATGGATAACGATGGATTTATAAGCAACGGCGAATTGTTCCAAGTATTGAAAATGATGGTAGGAAATAACTTGAAGGATACACAGCTACAACAGATCGTTGACAAAACAATACTGTTTGCTGACAAGGATGAGGACGGTAAAATAAGCTTCGAGGAATTCTGTTCTGTAAGTAACGAGGGTTCGGAGGATCGAAAGGAGGATCAATTGTATGAAACCCTCGTCGTATATGATTCCAGGTCGTTGGTAACACAGATATACATAAGAAGATGGTGGTTGATGTTTAAATGAATCGAGTTTCGATCGAAAGACAAGAAATATCGAACAGCAAAACCAATTTATGGTAATATCAATTTGACTATAAATTAATTACTAACAGCAGCAGATCTATTCGATAGTTATAAGTAACAAAACTGTGTAGAGTGGAATTATGATTGTTACTAAGCCTTTAATTAAGCCAATTTATACATAAGTTTATCACCTTTCAAACAGATTCTTTCCATAGTGCAACTGTATAAATTAGAACTTTATTGACCACTAACTTTCTAAGATCGTGCACATTTACTAAACATATTGTACAAGTTCTAATATTATAAAAATGCGAGAGCATTGTTTGTTACATTATACATCTATATATACATATATATATATATACACACACACACAGAGAGACATACGTACATATTTATTTTTAGTTAAATGCGACACGCTCGTGCAATAGTTCTGTTATATTATTTTATAATTTATTATTTTATTTAATTAACATGAAGAAAGTGTAGAGTTACCTCGGAGAAACTTCAGATATACAAATGCGTAGGTCTTTAAAGAAAAAGAAAGTCCCCTTTGTACATTGAAATTCGATTGATATACATTTCTTTATCATTCTTTTGCAACATGCACGTGTGAAAAAGGTAAATGCATTTTTCATTAACTGTGTTTCTCTAGTTTTCCGATGGCTAGACATCGCAGAATGATACATAAGAGACGTTAAGTTATAATTTGTGTAGGATGCGATATTTTCACGTGGACAGAACAATCTCTAATGGATTTCAGCCCGTGTTATTTCTTGTATATATTGTGTTCAATTATTGATTATTTTAATTGTGCATTTGAGAGTGAGCGCATCCTTTGGTTCGACTGTATCAACATCCGACGAATATTTCGTTTTAAAAAAAAATTCATCGTTTTTTAGAGATCTGTTTTTACTCCAATTTTTAATAAGACTGATTATGAAACGCAGGAATGGAACTTTCGAATGCCCAATTATTCTTTAATCATATTTGTTTAAGAAGAGAACGTGCTTAAAGAGGAAACAGAGAACATTAAAGTGTGTTGTTTAACTTCGGCGTAATGATTATTATTTGTACATTCACATGTTACAAGATCTTAATGTTTAATCAAAGATTTCAATCTTAAGCTATGTTGAAATAAATCTATGTAACATATAGATGAAGTCTCTTTCTCTCTCTCTCTCCCAGTCTCTCCTGATCTCTCCCGTCGTTAGGTCAGTGAGCAATGGTGGGAAAGAAGTGCTTCAAATCTCGTGTCTAAATTTAATACTACTCCCCCTCAACAGATGGCGCTGTTTAGGCAAAAATGTTCTGTCAGTGTGGACACGTTCGATCAGCTCGTCTGAGCTCGTAGGATGTTGGCAGCCCTGGTTCGTCCCCCGTCCTTCATTGTTGCTATTTGGTACCCGGTGTGTTTGCGTTTTTCTTTGGCTCTTGCGTGAAGTTTCGCCGTAGCCAGTTTTTAACAAATTCAGCCGCGAAAGGGACAGGCCGACGGACGTACAATTAATTAACGGACACAAGGAGGCGGTGGGGGCAGCAGGTGGTGAAGATGGAAAATTTGGAGGAAGTATTACAGGCGCTGGACGAATTTCAGAAACTGCGTCCGACCGAGATACCTCGGGAGCTCGAGGATTATTTATGCTGGGTCGCAAAGACCGGCGACCCCGTCTATCAGTGGTCGCTGATCAAAACGTTGTTCAGAGAGAAGCTGACCCGTGTAATGACCGACTTTTACGAGAGCTGCCCGAGCCTCGATCTAACGCCCTGCCCGAACGTCGAGCATTTCAATTACGACACGATGAAGAGCAATCTCCTGGAACGTTTGGAATCGTTCGCAAACGCGCCGTTCACCGTTCAACGGATCTGCGAACTGTTGACGTCACCCCGTAAGGAATACAATAGGGTTGACAAATTTATGCGGGCTATCGAGAAGAATATCTTAGTTGTTTCTACTAGAGAACCTGGGCCAATAGCCAGGAGGAACGAGAACGGCGACGGCATGGTCAACGGATCTGTGGATGAGGACACGTCTGCGACGCAGCCTCCTCAAGACGTAGAGATGGAGTATTGGGAGAAGGACTGTTCCTCGACAGTTACAATTAGCGTGCATAACGTGGAGAACGAATCGCCGTTGTTGCACACCGTCGTGTCGAGCACCACTGTAGTAAAGAATATGTTTGGTACAGAGGAACTTTCGCAAGAGAAGACAGAATCGACGGCTTCCAAGTCAGAGATCGTTGTATCTAATTTCATACCGACCGCTTCGGAGTTCACCGGTGTTACCAATTTAAATTCTCAAGCGCAGACCCAGGACTCGCAGATAGGGTCCACGATACAGAATCTGTCGACCATAGTTCCTGAAACTTCGGGTATCGTCAGCGATGGCGTCTCGGAGGCAATGATGAACGAAGATACCAGCTCTCAGCCTAGCTTAGAATTGGACAATGACAGCAGCGACGTGGATCCCTCGAGAAAATTACAGACGACTTTCCAGACGAAAGATTTTACATCCCATGAAAATAAATCAAAGTTCTATGTAGATAATTCTAAGGTAAATGAGAAAACGGAGATCGGAGTTGTTCCGATGCATGTACACGAAGGATCTGGTGAGAGCAACGATGGATTATCCAAGGAGAATGTCGAGCCTAAAACGGTGATCGAAAGTAAAGAGTCGGTCAATCCGATTGTTGAGAATCTCTTGAATACTGACGAAAATTTGGACGATTCGTTGAAGTCAGACACCGAGGTAGAAAATACTCGGCCTGCTATTAATACGTCTGATTCAAACATTGAACGTAAGGAGCCTTTGGAGAACGACAGCATAGAAGACATACAGACGGCTACGACCAACAGTACGGAACAGTGTGCTAGTAGTTTATTTTTGCCCATGGACGCTACGAATACGGAGGAAACTGCGAATACACCTGAACCTGTGGACCCAAAGACTGTGAAGGATCAGAGCACAGAAATGGAATTAGAAGAAGATTCGAAGCCCGTAGTAGAGGAACCGTGTCCGAAGGACGAAGCGACAGAGAATTTCAACTGTAATCGAGGAAAAGAAAGTGTGACGATAACGGAAGTTGCGGCCGACGAAACCACAGTAATAAAATCTATAGTACCTGACCCAATTCCTATAGTCCAAGAACCAAAAGAGGAACCGATACACACCGTCAACGCGAACCAGGATACACCTTCGATCGCGGATGTCTCGGAAGATTTAGAAAATCAAAATCTCATGGCGACGTGTCAGTCGGATAACGATGTAAAAATGCCAGTTGAGGACACCATAGCAGAACTACAAGGTAACGACGCGACTCCTGTTCTAAACAAAGTAGAGGATAACGAAACGGTAACAGAGAACGTTATGAGTAAAAAGGGTCAGGATGCAATGGAGTTAATGGATGTCGACGAGGAAGAAACGTTATCTGAATTTCAGCAAGGCAATGAATCCATAAAACAAGAAGCAGCACAATCATCTAGAAGTTAATACCATGTAACAAAGAGATTCTATTCATCTTTGTTTTTTTTAAAAAAAAAGGAAAAGAAAGAAGAATGATTGACGCAAGGGTGAAGAAGTATCTCGATCGATTTGTACGACTTCCTTCGAGTGTTTTGATATGTAAGATGTACGAAAAGAAACGTTGGGTGATTCACGAAGGAATTCTCTAATCCTATATACACATTGTTTTCCGTTTCGCTGATTTTACACTCACCGCTGAGAGAAGGGGGTCACAGGTACGCAGAGACTTGTTCGTACGAACTTCTAAGCTCCTGCAGGAAGCAAAGCACTGCCTATTCCCAGAACATTACAACATTAAACGACCAGTTTTCATCATGGTTTGGGTTTCCGCTCAAATATGTTTAGAAGCAAGTTTCACGATAAATTTATATACTTAGGACGTGGCTGTGTCTGATCGGAGCGTATGAAATTCAAATGTGGCGCTTAAACAAACATATACATATACGCAACGTGTGATATATAAACGGAGAAACAATTTTAAACGTAACATTCAGGAATTTTACACTGAAACACGATTGTCGATGAACAAGAGCGCGCGAGCTCGTCGAGATCCAACCATGGAGACCTAAACTGGTACACCGATGATTGGGCAAAGAGATATTTCGAAATTTTGATAAATTGCAAAAGAGCAATGCTCCAGTTTTTAGAGAGATCGATACCTATCATATTTTCACAATGATGACTGAAACCTGTTCCAATTGTGTTAAGTGTAGTCGAGATAGATGCACAGACTTCATTTAACGATCCAAATTATAATCAACAAGCGAATGCCTTTGTTACAAATATCTCCTATACGGAGAGGAAACGGTAACACGTAGCGAGAATAGAAAGAAACTATTATCTTTTTCATTTAGAGGAACGACGTTGCTCTCTGCGAGCACTTTCTCTGTTTTCCCAGATAGAGATCTAATAGCTGAATTAATAATTTCGAATGATAATAATGAATTTTGATATACTCCCCCTTAGTCCTATTTCGTCCCGATTAAACGGGCCCGTATAATTTGACGAGTTTAATACCTAGTTTAATTGCAACGCGGCTTGCTTCTGGTCATGTATTTTCATTAAATATAATTTCAAGTCTAGGGGGTATTCCATCCTAAACAAGGAAAATGATTGTAGCGTGAACGAGGATGAACTAACTTAAATACAGACGACGATAGATCGATGACATAAAATATTGACATAACTTAAAATAGCAGTGTACATTATTTTATAGGAAAATATATTAAAAAATTATTACCAAAGTGGGATTGTTTATAATACCTGCCTTACACCTCTAACGAAAGTTTTAATCGCTTTCTGACTTTCATATCTGGATCTTTCACCGAATTCTATATCAAATTTATTTTAATACGTCGAAATTCATC